CAGAGTAGTTAGTAAATGGAATGCACTAGGAAGTGATGTGGTGGAGGCTGACTCCATACACAGTTTCAAGTGTAGATATGATAGAGCCCAGTAGGCTCAGGAATCTGTACACCAGTTGATTGACAGTTGAGAGGCGGGACCAAAGAGCCAGAGCTCAACCCCCGCAAGCACAACTAGGTGAGTACACACACACACACAGAGTGCATAAAGAGCTACACTCCACTTCCCCGTTGTCATCCAAGTGGTTGGGCACCATTCCTGCCCCCGTCCCATCCCAAATCCTTATCCTGACCTCTTCCAAGTGCAATATAGTCGTAATGGCTCGGCGCTTTCCCCTGATAATTCCCTCCCACCGTCGTGAGACCAGTCGGGAGCATGCAGCGCCACCTCAAAAACCATGTACGAAAATGCGAAAGTGTACATAGTTTTTTAACAAGACTTTCGAGTTACGAATGAATGTAACAGGAGGAAAATTTTGAGAAAGCTCGTCCTAACAACTCTTTTGAAAAGAAAAGCGAAAGGAGACAAGATAGAAAATTCTTCTTCTTCTTATTATTATTATTATTATTATTTTTATTATTTTTATTATTATTATTATTATTATTATTATTATTATTATTATTATTATTATTATTATTATTATTATTATTATCATCATAGATTACCACGAGTTAGTCAGCTTGCTCTTGGGGGTTGCATCCTGGGGGGTGGCAGGTCAGTAAATGGACTTTGCATGAGTCCTCTATATAAGCCGAAATGTATATATATATATACATTACTGTCTGTCTCCCAACACAATGATTAATTATTATTATGAAACATTCCGCAGTTTGCACCTGAACTACCTAAGTTTCACCTAGCAAAGATTCACTGCTGTTGGACGTAGTAACAAAGAAAATGAAATATTTTAGGCACAACTCATGTAGTCATTCAGTCCCACTAGGCTTGCTCTTTTCTTAGTTGACAATAATAATAATCTTTATTTAGTAAGGCTTGTTTACTGTTGGCTTTATAGATAGCATTAAATGCTAAAGTTAGCAAACTTCACGTTTTCCTAGTTTCCACCTAGTAGAGTGGCTTGTCTGTTGTATAAGCATTAAATCTGTTAGCAAACTTCACGTTTTTTGTAGAGATGACCTGTAACACAATAATAATGGAGTTTGTAGAGGTGTTTTTCTCCACGATAATGGTGAGAAGATATTATACCTTGTACTACATATCAACTGTTGCATACATAGATATTATGTATAGAGACGATAGCCACGCCGCTGACTAACCCAAGAGGTCTCGTTCTAGTATCTAGTATCACTAGTTCTCGTTCTAGTATCACAATCATGGATCTTAAGATGGCGGAACTCGGAGGTCATTGAAAAAGGTGGCCCTCCGAACCAAAAAAAAGATGGTGGCCCTCAAGGACCACTAAAGATTGCAGTCTTCAGAGACCACAAATTAAGAGATGGTGAACAACAGAGGCCGCTAAAGAAGGTAACCAACAAAGGCTGCTGAAGAGGGCGACCAACAGAGGCCATAAGAGACAAAGGTCATTAGAGATGGTGGACAACAAAGGCCACTAAAGATAGTGACCTTCAAAGGCTCCTAGTTGGCAACATTGCCATCCCAGTTTCCACTAGCAATGGTAATGGTGGCCTTAATAGGCCACTAGAGATATTGTTTCTTGGACGCCACTGGAGATGGTGGCCCTAAGTGGCCACTAGAGACAGTGGCCCTCAGAGGCATATAGAAACGGTGGCCAATAGAGGCCACTAGAGATAGTGACCCTCAGAGGCCAGTAGTGATGGTGGCTTGCAAGTATATACAGGCATAATCACTGACTTAAAAAGAGGAGAATGGACCATCTCTTTTTGTGTGTAAATGAGGTGTACATTGGGTAACCGGAAGGCAGTGATTATCAAGTCACGTTGTGCGTCTTGCAGCCTAGTGGTGTGACGGACGGTATGGCGCCAGCCGGGAGGGCTCTTTTTCTTGTGTGTGAATCTTGAATGTGGTGATCATGTGTGTGTGTGTGTGTGTGTGTGTGTGTGTGTGTGTGTGTGTGTGTGTGTGTGTGTGTGTGTGTGTACTTACCTAGTTGTGTTTGCGGGGGTTGCGCTCTGGCTCTTTGGTCCTGCCTCTCACCTAACCTCTCCCGCCCTGTGTGTGTGTTTGAAGAGTTTGTACGCATACGCATTTCAACTTTGACTTATGACTTCACGCACATAAACACACAACAAATGCTTAGAAAATCACAAATTTTGTCTTCAAACCGCCATCACGGATTTATTGAAGGAAATTTTGCTTTCAGAGTTGCTAAAATTCTAAAATAAAATTATGATAGTCAAACAAGAGAAAGGAATGGGTGGACTGCATATTGCTCGATTGTCAGAAAGCATTTGATACTGTCCTTCACAAGGGACCCCAACACAAGCTAGAGAAGTAGCCTGGTGTACCTGGAAGATTGCTAAAGTTAGTAAGATAGTACCTCTCAGGAGGGAATCAAAGGGTAATCCCTGAGATAAGAAACAAAAGAATGAAAAAGAGGAAACGAGTGTAGTACCGCAAGGGATTGATATTATAACCCATCCTGTTTCCGTGTTAAAAAAAATCTAAGAAGAATCAGAAGAGATGAGGCTTTTATACAATACACATGAAACTTGGAGAGTTATAAGGGTAAAAAGAAGGATGTGACCCATACAGCATGGCAGATTTCTGTATCACAAGATGTGGAAGTAGACAAAACCAAATCTAATACCAGATGCCACATTAGCAGAATAGCGCCGGCGGCATTCGCCAAACTGGCCAATGTCTGTTTAGCATTGAGGAACTTGGACAAAGAGAGCCGGTCGGCCGAACGGACAGCACGCTGGACTTGTGATCCTGTGGTCCCGGGTTCGATCCCGGGCCCCGGCGAGAAACAATAGGCAGAGTTTCTTTCACCCTATGCCCCTGTTACCTAGTAAAATAGGTACCTGGGTGTTAGTCAGCTGTCACGGGCTGTTTCCTGGGGGTGGAGGCCTGGTCGAGGACCGAGCCGCGGGGACACTAAAGCCCCGAAATCATCTCAAGATAAGAAGGGGCCTTCCGTGTCCCCGTGTAACACCATTGCTACTCTCACTCTTGAGTATGCAGCCCCGGCATGGAACACCCTTTTCCCCACATGAAAAATCATAAAACAAAACAGAACAAGAAAATATTACAAAATATGCAACAAGTCTCGTTCCTGAGTTGAGGTGCCTGAGTAATGAGGAAAGATTGAAGCAAATTGACCTTGCAACACTGATAAAGAGGTGGAATTTAAAGCGACACGATAACAATATATAAAAGTTTCTAAGTGGAATGGAAAAATAGACTAAAATAACGTTTAAATCAAGAAACGGTAGAACATTAGTAATAGATAGAGAGAGATAAATCATATAAATCACTTCTTCAGTGTTAGGCGTGTCAATAAGTAGAATGTTGGCTACCTTACCTTGTGGTTACCTTGTCATGATTCCGGGGCTTAGCGTCCCCGCGGCCCGGTCCTCGACCAAGCCTCCTCATTGCTGGACTGCTCAACTTGGCTGTTGGACGCGGCTGTTCGCAACCTGACGTATGAATCACAGCCTGGTTAATCAGGTATCCTTTGGAAGTGTTTATCAAGTTCTCTCTTGAATAATGCGAGGGGTCGGCCAGTTAAACCCCTTATGTGTAGTGGAAGCGCGTGACTAGGCTTCAGTAGCCTAATTACATAATTCTAATTACAATTCTAAAGTTGCCTCGAAACCCCAATAATTTAACCAGCAACAAATGCTGGCCCTTTTTTGCGTACCAATCTTTTTTCTTCTCCCTTCGAGCATTGTTTACCTTCGAAAAACAGGTTAGTAGCAGCTATAGTTCACACTACAGCCACGCGCAGGCGCTGGGGGGTATAAAGTATAGAACCGTTGGGCGTGAAAATTCTAGGTGTGTGTTGGACGTCGTGGAGAGAGGACCTCCCGCTGCTGATTCCGTCATCGCCTTCACTGGCTTCTAACCTAATTGTTGATATAATCTGCCTTCATCATATATTTGTAAGTATAAAGGTCAAACAGGAGGGAGAGAACACGCACTGTAACGGAACAATAAGTTTATTTATTATATAGGTAGAGTATAAGGCAGTATATCAGGATCACTATAGCTGGAGGTGGAGCATTATTAGTTTAATTCATTATTATGTTCATCCTGTGAGGGGTGGTGCACCCTATGTTCATCCTGTGAGGGGTGGTGCACCCTATGTTCATCCTGTGAGGGGTAGTGCACCCTATGTTCATCCTGTGAGGGGTAGTGCACACTATGTTCATCCTGTGAGGGGTGGTGCACGCTATGTTCATCCTGTGAGGGGTAGTGCACCCTATGTTCATCCTGTGAGGGGTGGTGCACCCTATGTCCATCCTGTGAGGGGTAGTGCACCCTATGTTCATCCTGTGAGGGGTAGTGCACCCTATGTTCATCCTGTGAGGGGTAGTGCACACTATGTTCATCCTGTGAGGGGTAGTGCACCCTATGTCCATCCTGTGAGGGGTGGTGCACCCTATGTTCATCCTATGAGGGGTGGTGCACCCTATGTTCATCCTGTGAGGGGTGGTGCACCCTATGTTCATCCTGTGAGGGGTAGTGCACCCTATGTCCATCCTGTGAGGGGTAGTGCACCCTATGTTCATCCTGTGAGGGGTGGTGCACCCTATGTTCATCCTGTGAGGGGTAGTGCACCCTATGTCCATCCTGTGAGGGGTAGTGCACCCTATGTTCATCCTGTGAGGGGTGGTGCACCCTATGTTCATCCTGTGAGGGGTGGTGCACCCTATGTTCATCCTGTGAGGGGTAGTGCACCCTATGCCCATCCTGTGAGGGGTGGTGCACCCTATGCCCATCCTGTGAGGGGTAGTGCACCCTATGTTCATCCCTGTGAGGGGTAGTGCACCCTATGCCCATCCTGTGAGGGGTGGTGCACCCTATGTCCATCCTGTGAGGGGTGGTGCACCCTATATTCATCCTGTGAGGGGTGGTGCACCCTATGTTCATCCTATGAGGGGTGGTGCACCCTATGCCCATCCTGTGAGGGGTGGTGCACCCTATGTTCATCCTGTGAGGGGTGGTGCACCCTATGTTCATCCTGTGAGGGGTGGTGCACCCTATGTTCATCCTATGAGGGGTGGTGCACCCTATGCCCATCCTGTGAGGGGTGGTGCACCCTATGTTCATCCTATGAGGGGTGGTGCACCCTATGTCCATCCTGTGAGGGGTGGTGCACCCTATGTTCATCCTGTGAGGGGTGGTGCACCCTATGTTCATCCTGTGAGGGGTGGTGCACCCTATGTTCATCCTATGAGGGGTGGTGCACCCTATGTTCATCCTGTGAGGGGTAGTGCACCCTATGTTCATCCTGTGAGGGGTGGTGCACCCTATGTTCATCCTGTGAGGGGTGGTGCACCCTATGTTCATCCTGTGAGGGGTGGTGCACCCTATGCCCATCCTGAGAGGGGTGGTGCACCCTATGTTCATCCTGTGAGGGGTGGTGCACCCTATGTTCATCCTGTGAGGGGTGGTGCACCCTATGTTCATCCTGTGAGGGGTAGTGCACCCTATGTTCATCCTGTGAGGGGTGGTGCACCCTATGTTCATCCTATGAGGGGTGGTGCACCCTATGCCCATCCTGTTAGGGGTGGTGCACCCTATGTTCATCCTATGAGGGGTGGTGCACCCTATGTCCATCCTGTGAGGGGTGGTGCACCCTATGTTCATCCTGTGAGGGGTGGTGCACCCTATGTTCATCCTGTGAGGGGTAGTGCACCCTATGTTCATCCTGTGAGGGGTGGTGCACCCTATGTTCATCCTATGAGGGGTGGTGCACCCTATGTTCATCCTGTGAGGGGTGGTGCACCCTATGTTCATCCTGTGAGGGGTGGTGCACCCTATGTTCATCCTGTGAGGGGTGGTGCACCCTATGCCCATCCTGAGAGGGGTGGTGCACCCTATGTTCATCCTGTGAGGGGTGGTGCACCCTATGTTCATCCTGTGAGGGGTAGTGCACCCTATGTTCATCCTGTGAGGGGTGGTGCACCCTATGCCCATCCTGTGAGGGGTAGTGCACCCTATGCCCATCCTGTGAGGGGTGGTGCACTCTTATGTTCATCCTATGAGGAGGAACTGAACTGAAATACAGGACAACATCCTCATAGGGCGAGCTGGAAGTGGGTACAACTAAAAAAATCCGGCGGGAGGAAACGACGAAGTCGCAGAATTAGTGCCAAGACTTGGCCCAGCTGCAAGCAGATAACTGATGATAAACAAACTTCACAACAGACGACGAGGGACAGTCATAGGGGTCGCTGGGTGCAATTGAATTATATTTCTTGCGTCTTTAATCTTCTTAGAATACTCTGTCTTCATCTCGTGTTTTCTTTCTTTCTTTTATCATATTTCTTCGTCAGTCTGGTCCTGTTTTTGGTTTAACTTCGTGTCTTGATTATGCAGGCTTCGTCAAGGAAGAGTTGATGGGAAGTGTCAGGTGCCTGGTTTGGGTGAAGAATGGTAACATTGTAGGCCTCGTGAAGATCATTTGCATCGCTTTATTCCTGTGAAGGAGTAGTGCACTGTATACCCATACTGTGAGGTTGGTAGCGCACTGTATGCCCATACTGTGAGGAATAGTGCATACTATGCTTATGGGGTTTTCTATGTCCCATCCCTTTATGCAAGTAAGCTTCAGGATGGTTGTAAACCATGCGAGTGAGCTTCAAGAGTGTTTTATCCAAATTTGTCCAATTTTATTTATCCAAATTTGCAGAAGTTGTCATCGAAGCACTGTTCGGGAACTGTTCGAACGTCATCAATTGTGAGTCGTGTGTAAACCGTTTTTCATTCATGAACATAAATAAATAAATAAACATGGGGTTCGGTGGCTGGATTAATGAGCATTTGACCATTGTTGATGAGGACGGGCTGTAATCTAACCACCGTTGGGTTATTAATGAATAAAAAACACTTTACACATCATTCACAACTTATGAATTTTCTAACTACTCGGTCAATGTCTCTTCCTGGGAGGTGTTATAATGAATGTCTCCCCTGGCAGGTGTTACAATGAGTGTCAAGGGAGGCACCGTGGTGCTGGCGTACTCCGGCGGCCTCGACACCTCGTGTATACTAGTGTGGCTGCGGGAACAAGGCCTCCAGGTGGTCGCCTACCTGGTGAGTACCGAGCCCCAGGGGCGGGAAGATGAACTATTAAGTTCTGACAGATGCTAATATAACTCATCATATATAAAGCTGATGCTTGCTGGGACATTCGATAATACCTACACCATGCGCGTCCTCTCCCTTAGGCAGACCTGGGTCAGGACGAGGACTTCGAGGAGGCCAAGAAGAAGGCAACGAAACTTGGAGCCAAAGAGGTAAGCTGAAATGTTGTGTGTTCAGGTGAAACTGTGGCGAGTTGCGGTCACAAGTTGCACCTGCGGTCATGAGCTGCGGTTTCGAACCGCAGTAACGAGCACTAAAGTTACTTAATCCCTTAAATTTCTCATTGTAGTGCCAGTACAGCACAATGCTGTTCAACAACGCTATGTTTGCAGGTGATCAGTTCTTTCATTATTTATCCGTGGTGGCAGGTGGTGGTTGCGGACCAGAGACGGGAGCTGGTGGAGGACTTCGTGTGGCCAGCTGTGTCGGCTGACCTCATCTACGAGGACCGCTACCTGCTGGGCACAGCGCTCGCCAGGCCCTGCATCGTCAGCGGCCTCGTCCGCGTCGCCACCAGGGTGGGCGCAGGTGAGGTGTTGAGTCCTCGTTCAGGTTAGAGACGCGGTGTCCTTAGTTTGGAGTGTTGGGGTACTCGGAAGAGAGGTTTGGGAGCCCTCAGTGTGCTGTGTTCTTCAGGATGGAGACTTAAAGGTAAGCGAATTACCGCCTCAAGGCCCTCGCCGCACGTTGTCCTGGCGAGATACACAGTAGCAAGCAGTAAGTCTATGTTCACTAGCCTCCAGCCCAAGCACAGCTCTCACATATTTTCTCTGCTGATGGTATTATACATGTAAATAATTCTAAACGCCTAATGTGAGAAAGTTATGTTATTGACGTTTATTTTGAAAATAAGGTATTTTTCTATAATTGACAACTTAAAAAAATAACTTTCTAGAGGCAAGAAATTTGTATATTTGAATGTTGATGTGTACATTGATCACAGTAGGCGTTGGTCATGCACGCTTCCCTTGTGTGTTGCAACGACAGTGTTCCCTGCTGACTGCTGACCCAAGCCAGGTCCCGGCTAGGCTACTATCACCACACTTTAGTTTATACAAAATACACGAGGCGACAACTGGGAGCAGCAGTATCTGAGTCAGATGCTCAAAACTAAATTTACTACACGAGGCTTGCGTGCCCAAGGACAGAGAGACTTGGTCACGTTTCAGACTTATATAACTTTCATTCAGTTATATACAAGAAGGTACACTGAGAACGTACATACATTGGGTATGTATGTACGACCCAGCGGGTTTTCTTCCTCTTGGGCAATGTTGTACATGCTGCTATGGCGGTAGGTCCACCCACAGAATGAGTGGCGCTGCCCAATAAACTCGCCCCTCGGGGCAAAATTAAAAAAAATCTTATGAAAGTTAGTAGTTAGCCTATGGGGGATCTCCATAAGCCTAATAGGCCTGCTATTCCAGACAACAAGAGACCGTTGCAGGACAACTTGTTATTTAGATAAATACTCTTGAATCCTGGTTCCTTTAATATATAATTATATTGTAATGTTTGAATTCCCTGCAGGATACATAGCCCACGGCGCCACTGGCAAAGGCAACGATCAGATTCGGTTTGAACTGGGTTGCTCCGCTCTCTGCCCGGCCCTCAAGGTCAGTACCACCCGGCCACCCCCCCACCGCCGGCCTGAACTAGTATGAGCTGCATTGTGAACAGCTGTGTGTGTTGTGTGTGTGTGTGTGTGTGTGTGTGTGTGTGTGTGTGTGTGTGTGTGTGTGTGTGTGTGTGTGTGTGTGTGTGTGTGTGTGTGTGTGTGTGTGTGTGTGTTTTGTGTGTGTGTGTGTGTGTGTGTGTGTGTGTGTGTGTGTGTGTGTGTGTGTGTGTGTGTGTTGTGTGTGTGTGTGTGTGTGTGTGTGTATGTGTGTGTGTGTGTGTGTGTGTGTGTTTTGTGTGTGTGTGTGTGTGTTTCTGTTTTTTTAGCGAGTCTGCACTTTGCATAGTATTCCTCTGTAACGCCAATTTGTGTTACATTGTCGCAGTTTACTAGTGTGAAGATGTTAAACTTTATTAAAGAAGTGTGTTGTAAATATGTAGTTATATAGATATGAATCATCGTTAACCACCATTGTCAAGGTATCCCTGTTTCACGGGGAGAGGCAGAGGGAAGGCGCGTATTGGCAGCCCGGTAGAGCCTGTCTGGCAACAACTACCCAATTGCCTCGTCAACAGGAATAAATACGCTGAACACATCCACTTCTCGGTGAATATACGCTGACGGTTTACGTACAGCCGTAAACTATATTCAGGACCAAAGTATACAGGCTAGTTGGTCTTTAAACTGGAGGCAGGGCGTTAGTAATCCTCCAGAGGTTCATAGCCAACACCCCAATTGTTACTTCCACTACCACCCGAGGCGAAGTTGTCAGCCCAGTCTCCTCACAACCCGAGTGGTTCCGAGCTCGATTACCGCGGTCCGTACAGCTACGTTTGGTCACGTTTCCTTTCACCTGATGCCTCTGCTCACCTAACAGTGCATAGGTTCCCTGGAGTTACAGACCTGTTGTTGATTGCATTCTGGGGGAGGTCAGTCATTGGCCAATGTCAAGGGGTTCTTAACAGTTTTACGATTACAGACGACCCCCCCCCCCCATCCCTCCGCCACCTCAATGGATCACCCATCATGTCCCCATTTTGTTTTGGTTCCCGGCTAAAAACCCTTAGTCTAGGGGAGAGGTTGATAAGCCTAACAGGGCCTCCTGTACCAGAGAGTTGAAAGGTGCAGGGAGCCTCTTGTACCACTACGACGCCCTGGCGTAGTAGTGGAGTACAAGTTACAGGTACTCCTGGGGCCTACTGTTGTATACTGTACAGGTCCTCTTCTCTGAAGAAGTAAGGCAGCAGAACAGTAATTATGAGTGACACACGACACATCATGTGTCACGACACCTACAACCATCCCGTTCTTGGTTGACATCCCGTCAACCATCCCATGAGGTGACAACCTAACTTGCCCCTCCCGCCCAAACGAGAAGATGCTCATCCATCCCAAATTTTGTGTTAGGCTCGAGGCCAAAAAACACAAGACACTCGTTCATTCACCATATTCTTACCTTATACAGCGTCGAGGAGAAACAGTAAGCATCACCATACTCCAGCAGCACGACAGTGCTTCACACAATTAGTTGATTTGATACTCATCCTGTGAGCGGTAGCGCAAAAAGGATTACAGAGGGCACAAAAGGTCTTTATCAGACCTCAACTGAGATTATTACATTAACAATTTCATCTATCGCTTCACACCTTATAATTATAATGTCATCTAGTTGCAGAGAATGATCTATTTCAAGAGCTATATATATAAGACCTACAATTAATGTATAATGATTATCACTAATACGTAATTGAAATTGAATTGAAATTGAAATAAGTTTATTGAGGTAAAATACACACAAAGGGATGAGGTAGCTCAAGCTATTCTCACCCCGTTCAGTACAACGTGTTCATACATATATAGACACACATCACAAACAATAAACATATTGCCGAACATTCTGAGAGATAAACATACAATTCCTCCTTTACACAAGTGGCATGGCATCAGAAGCACACACAAATATTTTTATGACTTAGGTACTTACGTAATTGTTTACACAACTGGGTGTACAGTGCTTGAGTTGTTGTGATGCCGTGGAAGATGCGCGCGCATCACTTTCTTTTAAGGGTAATTAACACCGTTGTTTATGTACGTTTATTGAGATAATAAAATACCTCTCAAAATGATAGAGTAGCTTAGGCTATTTCTACCCGTTGTGGGTCTAGTTAGGACTTGGAAGGGTGATCAAGCTGACAGCCTCGCCTTTGGCTACGGTAGCTTGATACGCCTAATAAGCTTCGTGTCTTCGACAAAGGTTGATTGATTGATAAAAGATTAAGCCACCGAAGAGGTGGCACGGGCATGAATAGCCGTAAGTGGTAGATTTATTTTGTTTGGTAAATGTATACTGTGTGCTAAGGTCGCATTTAATCGTCAAGCTGCTATCGCGGGGGAGGATACTGCTTGACAGTATTTATGAGGGTGTCCAGCTGCTGGACACCTTTTTTGACCAGAAGAGTGGCAGTGTTGATGGCTTCAGGGTGGTTACTGCAAGGTTCGGGGACACTTAAAGTTCTTCTAAGGTCGTTGGTTGCTTGACATTCCAGTAGATAGTGAAGTAGTGGCTTTTCTGTGATTGCTTAGCAGAAGATGCATTCCCTCTGTCGGGGTTCATCAATCTCCCAGTTGCATCTGTAGATTGATTGATGAAGATTAAGCCACCCAAAAGGTGGCACGGGCATGAATAGCCCGTGAGTGGTGGCCCTTTTGAGCCATTACCAGTATCAAGAGCCAACAGCTGATACTGGAGATCTGTGAAGGTGCGACTGCACCCTACGTGACGGGAGATGTCTCCCGTCAATTGCATCTGTAACCTAGACGTAGTCTATGTAACCGAACTGCTATTTCCCTGTGGATTCCTTTCCTGATATTTAACCTTTCTAACTTGGTGGCCTGAAGATACCATATTGCAGAGGGCGCGAACCTTCTGCTACTCTGGTGTAGATGGGCGGTATACGACAAAGGTATACCTTACCCTGCTGTATACAGCACAAATACATTCAACCCTCCTCCTCACTACAAATTGGTTTTACCCAATCTTGCTCCTCAGCCTTCCATACATCCTGCTGCTCACTCTCGCTCCCCGTCCCCCCCCCTCCTCTCACACACACACACACACACACACACACACACACACACACACACACACACACACACACACACACACACACACACACACAGGAATCAGAGAAAAACTTGCCGTTAAACTCTAAATACGTACAGTACGAGTATTCACTACTCCTACCACCCCTTTTTTATTAAAAAAAAAGAGGTTGATTAAATATTAATATATAATAATAATATGATGATTAATTCAGTTCGATTTAACTTCCTCGCCTCATGTATGCGAAGTGGAGCCTTGACGAAACGATTCTTCCGCCAGATTATCTCCCCGTGGAAGGACCCGGCCTTCTACGAGCGGTTCCCAGGTCGCCAGGAGCTGTTCGAGTACGCCCGGAAGAACGACATTCCCCTACCTGTCACCCCGAAGTCGCCCTGGAGCATCGACGCCAACTTGATACATATCAGGTACCAGGGGGCAGCCTAGTACCTGATATGCCTTCCTCCTTGTTGTGTATCCTTGTGTGTGCTGTCTACTTCATTTGTTATTCATTCCATACCCATCCTGTGAGTCGTATAGTGAGCTTATCACGTCCTGTGAGTGGTATAGTGAACTTCACAAATAATACTCAGGAACCCCAAGATTCGTTAGGCTAAGCAATTTAGAACGTCAGTGACATAGTTAAATAGTTAACATATACATTAAAATGTATATAACATATACGTCTATTCAGTTTTGTAAAACTGGTGACATTCACTAACATGGCGGTGTCAACATGACATGTTCTTCACAACATTTATCCTCCATGTGTTGCAGAGTTTGTACAACTAAGACCCCCAAATGTGGCAGGATGGGTTGTCCTGCAAAGAAATGCTAGCAATCGCAAACTTTGGATAGAATATACTATCCTCAAGAACACGGTTTATGTACAAAGTGACGACAAAACCGCTAATCATGTTAAACCGCCAGGTTTCAAAAGAGTCAAATGACTGAACTTTCCATGAGATAGCATTCAGAAAATTATTGGAACCTTTTATGTTAAGCGATCTGGTCATTTATTGGTCTTGTTGTCTTATAGAAGTGAGGTTCTCAGACCTTCAGAAAACAGACCTTGAATAATGTTGCTACTTCTAGTTTTTTTTTACAGTATTGGTTAATAATTGTAATGGAGGCAGTTGTTAGGCTTGTTAGTGTGTGTGAGGTGATTCCTGTGAAGATTACAAGCAGTGGGTCCTGTGGATTATTGGACTGAGCTGTAACTATACGCACGATGTTCTAGTGTTCCACCTACACCACCCTCCCCCCGCTAGTGTTCCACCCCCACCACCAGACTCACCACCCTCCCCCTGCTTGTCTCCATCAGCTACGAGTCTGGGGTGCTGGAGAACCCGTCCACACACCCGCCGGAGGGCATCTTCCAGCTCACCACCGACCCGGAGAAGGCGCCCGACACACCACAGCGGCTCACCCTCTCCTTCACGACAGGTGCGCCCCGAGTCCTGCCGGCCTCTCGCTGCCTCTATTGTATTAAAGAGCAATGCAGGTGTGACTTGATCACCAATCAGGAAAGCTACTGCATACTTCCCTTTCACTATGCATTAGTGTTAGAAACTCACGCCTCAGTAACAATTGTTAGCTCACAAACAAGGCTGTTGCCTCGATAACAGGGCTGTTGCCTCCATAAAAGGGTATTGCCTCAATAACGGCTGTTGGCTCAAGAACATGGCTCCCCTCCCCATTACAGGTGTGCCTTACCCCTGCCCCATTACAGGTGTACCTTGCCCCTTCCCCATCACAGGTTTACCTTACCCCCTCCCCCATCACAGGTGTGCCTTACCCCTGCCCCATTACAGGTGTGCCAACAAGTGTGAGTGTGGAGGGAGAGGGAACCCAGGTGACAGATCCTCTCGAAATACTCCTGACATGCAACAGGATCGGGGCTAAGCATGGCGTAGGGCGGATTGACATGGTTGAGAACCGCTTCGTTGGCCTCAAGGTATGTCCATTACCTCTTATTGGCTCCATATACAGATGTCCAACCACTTGGGCTGGCCGGTAGAGCGACGGTCACGCTTCATGCAGGTCGGCGTTCAATTCCCGACCGTCCATGTGGTTGGGCACCATTCCTTCCTCATGTCCCATCCCAAATCCTTATCCTGACCCCTTCCCAGTGCTATATCGTCGTAATGGCTTGGGGGTTTTCCCTAATAATTCCCTTCCCTCCATATACAGATACATTTTTTTATGTATGTCCTGTAAACATGAACACAATTTAACCAATCCTCAAGCTAGGCTCGTCGATTCAGCAGTTATCACCTTAGGCGCATTTGTTAATATTTTTCTCCATTGTAATTAAAACAGATGTTATTTCATATTGATATATATATATTATATATATATATATATATATATTGATATTATGTATTACGATTTTGTAAATGGATTATGTTTGGGTACATGTTTATGCTAGGCTATATGTTTGATTTCATAGGCAGATATTTGTATTTTCGGTACTTGGGCAACCTATTATTAGACTATCCTCTTCTAAAACTACTATTTTCTCAGATATATTTAAAATATTTATCTGTATTATGTTTTTGTGTATACTTAAGCATATGATAGGTTTTCTGTTGGCAATTATTGGTATTTGCAGTACGTGGATGAAGGGTTTAGAGAGGTACGAGTCGAACATTAAAATGAGCAAGGCAGTGATCGATAAAACTATTAATATGATCACAACTGGTATACGTTGCAACTTTTCTCGAAAATCCCCATTATAATTAAAGAGATGTTAGCTTCCAGATTTGCATATAATATATCCACGTATCGAAGAGCATTGCATAAATGTGATCCAGCTAAATACACTGTTTTCGCATTAACTGCAAATTTCTCCATTATTTATCTTATTTTTTAAAATATGATAATTGTTCATTGTTATTTCATTATTGCTATTTGTATTATTGTGTGAGTGGCGTGTACAAGCATGTGGTGATGTGACTGAGCATACATATATGCCCACATGTGGCGTGACAGTCACGAGGCTTGTCCGAGGCCCCGGGCTTGACCATCCTGCGGGCGGCCCACCTCGACCTCGAGGCCCTCTGCCTCGACCGCGAAGTGAGGAAGATGAAGACCTTCATCAGCACCCGCATGGCCGAGCAGGTCTACAACGGTGAGACGCAACACTCGCACTGGCTTTCCTTACCCGTGTCTCCCTTCAACCTCCTCCACTCACAATCGGGAATCCCAGGTTCAAATCCCGGGGTGGGACAGAAATAGCTCGCGTTTCCTTTCACCTAATGGACTGTTCACCCAGCAGTAAATAGGTACCCGGGAGATAGTCAGCTGTTGTGGGGTTGCATCCTGGGGGGGGGTCAGTAGTTCCATTTTGGGGGGATGACCTTGATATAAGCCTAACGTGTACACATACTCAGACTGCCTGTCCCCGACAATATGAAGTATAAGTAGTGTTTGCATCACCTATGTATAAACATATGTGTTGTGTTTCTAGATGTTCATGATGATTATATGGTATTATTTCCAAGCTTGCTCCGGTTGATTGTATCACTGCTCTAGCTGGGCACACGCCACTGTAACCCACTTAGGCATTTGAGATATGTTGACAGTGCACCTGTGCCTTTACTCTGTGCACCTGTACCTTGTACTATGTACCTGTACCTTGTCACTACACATTCAGGACATTGTACACCTTCATTTAGAGACGTGACACCTATACAAGTTGCCACACACCCTGACAGCTGTGTTTTACAGGTCTGTGGTTCAGTCCTGAATTCGAATTTGCACGAAGTTGCATCAAGACGTGTCAGAAGGTGGTGACGGGCAGCGTGACGCTTAAAGTGTACAAGGGCAACGGTAAGTGGTTCCTGTGTTTGGTGGTGACTGTGACTGTGTTTGGTGGCTGTGGTGGTGGTGACGTGAAGGCAACCAATGGTGGTGACTGTGTTTGGTGGCTGTGGTGGTGGTGACGTGAAGGCAACCAATGGTGGTGACTGTGGAGAAGGCAGCCAGTGGTGGTGACTGTGGTGAAGGCAGCCAGTGGTGGTTGATGATAGGTGCAATAATAACATGATGGTGAAAGCATAATATAGACGTGCAGTGTATTACGTATAAAGTACAGAATTATTACCCTAACATTATATAGTTTAACCCTCGCCTTAACAAGTTTCAGAAAGTGACACTAACAAGTAACAGCTTATCATTAAGAAGAGGATAAAACAGTCCCCTGCATAGTGTGGCAACATCATGTTGCCACATATCTTGCCACTTTGGAACAGTATTAAGTGAAATAATATAAATATATGCACAAAAAAAATGTTAATTTTTATATCTGCATGCATGAATAAGTATTACAGCATATATACAAAATTATAACTTACCGGGGGGACTTCCAACAAGCCGCTGGCTTCCTGTCTTTACCATCGAGGCCACTAGAAATGGTGGAACTCAGGTAAATTCAGATCAAATGTGTTCGTAAGTGTCTTAAAGCCTTAATGGCAAGATACAAATATTAACGCGTATGGTGACATTGGTACAGTGTACGTGCTGGGAAGAGAGGCTCCCGTGTCGCTGTACAACCAAGAGCTGGTCTCCATGGACGTCCAGGGGAACTACGACCCCAGCGACGCCAAGGGCTTCATCAGGATCAACGCTCTCCGCCTCACTGAACACCAGAGGCTCAAGCAAGAGATGGAGTCCGCCAGTTAACCGTTGCACTGCGCACTAACGGACAGAGAAGATCGACGGTCAGATTGCCGATAGATCGACGAGTGGGGTCGAACTGGTGATAACCAGATGGTTTAAACAAGTACTGGACTTGTTACTTGGTGTTGAGTTGGGAGTGAACACAAGCCTAGGATGCAAATTGGTTAGTTATAGAGAACTAGAGATAGTTATGGTGAGCAAGGACAAGTTAGCGGTCATCATGGGGGTGGAGATCAACCAATGGTAGACATACTACTGGTACAGTGATGTACCGATGTACAGGATATCGCCTCCCGAGCGACAATGAACCGGAGGTCAAACTAATAGGACACATGAGACGGAATTTGCTATTGTAAAGTCCTAAAATTGTTGAGTGAGCTTTGATTTGGTCGTAAAATACCAATATAATTTTTTGTTTAAGATAAGCCATATTCTCCCTTTTTTTAAGAAGTAATTCTTTGTCATTCTTTATATAAAAATTATATAAAGAGAAATCTTTATTGTCAATTGAAAAGCTGAAGATGGTAACAGTTCTAATTCCTTTATATGATTCACTACAACAATTTTGTTAAGTATAGGAGTTGTTTGTCAAGCACATTAAACACTCATGTTTATTTTGTCCAGTATTTTGCTTCCCTACATGCCAAACAGGTGATCACTAATTCCACAATAACCACAATGAAAGCTTACAAAACGGTAACTCCAAGCTGTCACCGCATCACAGTACGATATATTACGATATTAATATTCTCTGCACCAGTATCTATCTTAAAATGTTATGTCTTATCACATTAAGTTTTTTTCGAGCTTTGATGTATACACTTGGGATTTTATGGTCTGCTATGTTAATAAAATATATAATTACCGTCGAGTTTGTTTACCCTTGAGAGTTAGGCTTCCTCCAGCACAGTTTTGTATACAGAATACTAAATGTAAAGTGTGTTAATAGACTTGATATTATCCCAACATTGCTCTTACCTTATCTCATAGTTTACTAGGAGTAGTGGCAGGCGGTGCCTGGGGTGCCTCCCCGCCCCGACCCCCCCCTCTTCTTTTCCCATATATATATTGTGACGAGAATCTGGGATAGATTACGGGCTCACCATAGCCTGTGCTACATGGACGCTTCGTTCTGAGTAGCGAAATCTAAAACAATAACAACTGGGATAGAGGAGTGGCTCCTCGGACAGGTATTGTGCCCATCGTACATTAATAAAACAAGAAAAAACTGCTTGATACGTCTACGGTGTGAGAGCTACGAAAAGCCAAAGTGAATAAAAACTTCAAACATTAATATAATAAAAAATGACTAATTTTACACATAATAAGTAACAATGAAAACAAAACCCCTTATCCACTTGGCTTATACACAAACAAAAGAGAAATATACACGTGAAATTTATGTTAAATAATAATGGTGCAGGTTAATACTTTACACAAAATGCTGTGGGCATCTACCGTCACCCCAGGGGGGAGGGGGGGGAGCCGAGAGTAGATGTTACAGCTGAGAGCACTCGAAGGGTAGTCTGTTGAGCTGGACGCTGGCAAGCCCTGTTATATGGGGCATGACGTCATAGTTGGCACAAATTCTGGAGTTTAACAATCAGCCGGCAGGTAAACGATCGTTGGCTGGCTGGTGGCGTCTGGTCCCCGTCGAAACAGCAGGTGTCACAGGTGCTGCAGGGTGGAGGGGAGGGGGGAGGAGGAGGTGTGTAGACATCCATATATTGTGGGCACGTACTGTTGCTGTCGTTGATGTTGAATTTTGGTGTTGAAGCATGCAGATAAGTAGGTGGTAATGGGACAGGCGGGATCTACTGCTAAACAGCAGGAGATATACAATTAGGTTATCTAGTCAAGGATAAGACTAAACTGGAAAAGGTTCAAAGATTTGCCACCAGACTAGTACCCGAGCTGAGAGGTATGAGCTACGAGGAGAGACTACGGGAATTAAACCTCACTTCGCTGGAAGACAGAAGAGTTAGGGGGGACATGATCACCACATTCAAGATTCTCAAGGGAATTGATAGGGTTGATAAAGACAGGCTATTTAACACAGGGGGACACAGGTGGAAACTGAGCGCCCAAATGAGCCACAGAGATATTAGAAAGAACTTTTTTAGTGTCAGAGTGGTTGACAAATGGAATGCATTAGGAAGTGATGTGGTGGAGGCTGACTCCATACACAGTTTCAAGTGTAGATATGATAGAGCCCAATAGGCTCAGGAATCTGTACACCTGTTGATTGACGGTTGAGAGACGGGACCAAAGAGCCAGAGCTCAACCGCAAGCACAACTAGGTGAGTACAGGCTATAGCTTCCAGTTCCCGACAAAACGAACGAATTTTAAGACTATCTGCTAATATCCACGTGTTAATGAACAGTTGCAAAGCTCTATAAGTATATCATGCCATTTCATATAAAACCTTTCATAACATGAGCCGTATTCATATATATAAGTTGCTGAAGAGGGTGTCCTAGCTCTGAAGTGCTCTCTGTTGGTATAGTTTTACTTCCTGTAGTTCCAGCCTGCCATGGGTAACGATATCCAAGCTTAATTCTAACAGTTGCAACGTTACACTGTCTGGCGGACGTTTTGTGTTGCTCTTCGAGTGTTAGTGATTGATTTTGACAGCCCTAACTGTTTTAAGTTGCGTGGTTTTAACACCAGTCATTGTGATATCTAGATCTAGTTCATTTTCATCAGAGAGCTCTCTTCTGATGACACATTAATTTTAGGGATATGTTTGAAAGTGGAAGATTATATACTGCAGTGTTCAATACTGACTAGAAGCATTGCAAGAGCATCAACGTTATCATGTTTAATGAACCTATCTACAGCAACCTCCCGCTGGTCAGGAAGAGCAGTTACTCTAAAGGGCAGAAAGCACGTATGTATATATATTTTTTTGTATAAAACGTTATATATTTATATGTTTAAAAACAAGAACTATATATACAGATAGCACGAAAAATCCACTAGAGAGTGTGGCATTGTAATTGCCAGAATTAGGTGGGATATGTATCTATGGCAGGTGGCTGCAGGTAATGAATCCCACTATGGTAAACATTCCAATTGTAAGCTGTGTGAACAACAGCCGGGACATATACTCTCTAACACTATATCTGTGAGTGTCCTGTTACCAATGTTATCAGACCAAATGGTATGAGTTACTTTCAGCTCTGTGACTACTTCATATACACATGAATATTGGAAAAAATTATTGTGCTCTACCCAGATTTTGCTATAGTGCTGGTAATAGATGCGGCCTGTGAGATGGGGATATTAGAAGAAAGTTAATTTTTAGCTACACTCCGCAATCCTTCACTGGGCTGGACGGTAGAGCAAAGGTCTTGCTTCATGCAGGTCGGCGTTCAATACCCAACCATCCAAGTAGTTGGGCGCCCTTTCCCCCCCCCCCCCCCCCCCGTCCCATCCCAAATCCTTATCCTGATCCCTTCCAAAAGCTGGTTGGGAACTTTGACCCAGCACTGACTAGTTTGTGTGAAATGTAATATATTTTTTTATAATTGAACTGGTTTAAAAAGGTTCTCACATTTTGATTAATTAATCAGTAATACTAATTTCATAATTTTTAAAATATAAAATGATACTTTTGAGAAATTCTTTAAAAATATATTTAGACCATCGCTTCAGTAAATACTGTTGTAACCGACCCAAAACAACAGTCTTCAGTCTGCCGTTGGCCGTAGTTTTCGCTAGTAATTTTCTATCAAAACATACATCATGGCTGGTAATTTCTGGCAAAGTGCTCACTAGTAAGTGTTTCTTAAGTATTCAATAACCAGTAGATGAGTTAAATTATTTGAATTTGTTTGGAATTTATTCATGTTTCTGTAGGGTTTTCATATTTTAGTCCTAATGTAACTATTTGGTTCGCCTCGCACAATTCAAATTGTAAATTGATATATTACATAATTGGTTAAGCTATAGTAGTGATAAAATTGAAGTTCATGGCTCATTAATGCTTTCATATTAGCGAAAAAGTTAAACCTCCCTGTCTTGGGTGCTAGTGGAGGCTTGGGTGGGAGTATGGGGTGGCCTTCCCGTAAACCCAATTACAGTACTAACAAAATCGGTAGTTGGGTTTGTTCTCACCTTAATCAAATATCCTGGGGGATGAATCCCAGGCAGGACAGAAGTGGTTGGAAATGTTTTCTTTCACCAAATCCCTCAGTTCACCTAGCAGTAAATAGGTACCTGGGAGCTAGTCAACTGTTGTGGGGGGGGTTCCATCTTGGGCAAGGTCTGGCTGCCTGTCCTAGAGGCAGTACTCTAGACCGGCTTGGGACCAGAACTATGTGATCTGAATTTTGGATGTGTCGTTGTTCTAGAAACAAGAGCTCCAGGCAGCTTCATGAAAGTGGGTTTTGAGGTACTAATGATGATTGTTTTATATCCAGTGTCTTCTCTTTAGCATTTATCCTCCATGTTGAAATAGTTATGGGTTAATTGCTTTATAAACATGTTAGTAGGAACCAGATACAGTATTTTGGTTCAAACCATACCTTATCAAACATGCACATGTGAATATGTTTATGATACAAATAATTTTTTAGTCAACAGTGGCTCTTGGATAGTCAAGACCTAATACAAGAGCGTCGGGCAGACTTGGAGGTACTTACTGAGGAGGAGTATCATAAAGTTATGATTTTCTTTGCCAATTGTAAGTCACTATTTTGTTTTATCTCAAATACTGTACTATTATAAATGACATGAGTTTACATATGCTTGTGAAATCACATAGACTTTTGGTGAATTATATGCATTGTTTATAAGTTACTCATTACAGTACTTAAACAAAAATTGACTGATTCATGTTTCTGTTGATGTATAAAAAACTGATTAAATGAGTTAAATGAGGAAAATACAATTTTTAGGAAACTGATTAAATGAGAGGAAATTTAAAAGATTTTAGACTAAAGTATAATCATACTAAATGAACACTGGACTATAAAAGTGAAATGCATTATCTGAACAAATACCATATGTTTCAAGATTTATCCCCTCAAAGAGTATCACAGCAATACCTGTGGTTTGTGGGTATTGCATTATGTTCTGGGGCAGCAGGAGTTACTTCATAAGCAGATGATGAGTCACAATAACGTGGCTGAAGAATGTTGACCAAATCTCACACTAGGAATTGAAGAGACGACGATGTTTCGGTCTGTCCTGGACAATTATCAAGTAGATTGCCATTATCACAATAGACTTGATAATGGTCCAGGACTGACCGAAATGTCGTCGTCGTCTTCAATTTCTAGTGTGTGGTTTGATCAATGTTACTTCATAACCTCAGTCAATTAAAGTTCCCTTCACTCCTTCTGTGATTCATTGGCAAACATTAGCATACATAAGTTTCTTATCTGGGAAATAATTAATATGAAGCCAATACCCAGTGGAAAAATAGGGGTCATCAACTGTTAATTAATGCCTCTGACAACACTACATTACCCCACTAGAAAAGAGGATGGGCTGGAAGAACTTAACATGTCCCAGGAACAACATCCCAACCCATCCCAAACAACATCATTTCAAGGCATGGCTAGAGAAGCTCTTAGCTCAGGAAGCTATTGAGTGCCCCAGCTTTTATTATTTCAATGAATACTTTAATTGTAAAGCCTAATTTAATTATTATTTTGTTAAGGTAAGATAGGCTTGGATTAATTTCTTAGGGTTTGTAATTTATTATCAGAATGAAATTTTGCTAATGCTGGAATATTAACTATTTTATCAATTGAGTGGGGAATGTAGCTATTCTTTTAAGAATTACTCTTTTTTTTTTTTTTTGATAGGATGAAATTTTATAATTTGAGAAAATACAGGAAAGGTTGTTTCATTATATTCAGACTTTGATTTTTATAAATATTCTTTACTTTCTTTTTTTACGCTGCTTCTATTTTTTTCTCTAGGCTGATGCCTTTCCACCCCATGAAAATGGGAAATGGGATGATGAGTATGATGATGTGTGGTGGGGAGGAAGGGGGGGACTGCAGTCCTAGCAGTTGCCATTTAGAATTTATACCCATGTAAATGTTGTCTCGTTTATCATTATTCATGAATCTTTACCCTGTTGATTACAGATTCATTTAGTGTTATGAAATATTAATTATTAGATTATGCCATGATATGTGAATATTTATCCTACAACAAATAGAAAGTCAGAAGGTGCCACCTTAGTCACAGTTTTATGAACCATCAAGTATCTAATGTGTAGTGTCAAATCCTGTTAGTCAGACATTTTATGGTAAGTAAAATCTAAACCACTTCTTAAAAGGATTTAATGGTTCACACAGGAGAAAATAGCTTCAAGCTCACCAAGCCTCAATATAGGACAGAAAAGAGGCTTTCTCACCCATAACAGGAGATACTTTTGTGCCCACTAAAATACTAAGACAGAGATTCAGCTCAAAATACAGCTTGAATCGTCAGGAATAGCGTGACCTTCCACAAGCCACTGACTTTCTGTCCTTGCTATGAACATTGGAGACGGTGGTCATGTAGGCACGTAAATATAGTCTATATATTGAACTGTAATGAATATTTATATATTGTGGTGTGTTTCTGGCCACAAACATTTGATCAGTTTATCAACGTTAATCTGCATAATAATGCCTAACCTCTGGTCCCTGAGCATTGGAGAGTTTGTAAATGGGTTCTAAATTTATATCTATTGAACTTTCCAGCTGATAAAGAACACATGGAAGAAAGTCCTTTTAATAAATAAGGTTTTAAAGTAGTAAAAAATAAAGGTAAACTTCACCTTTTAATATTCGTTGTATTTCAGTTATTCAACAGCTTGGCGAGACCCTGAAATTGAGACAGCAAGTTATCGCCACAGCAACAACTTTCCTTAAGCGGTTCTATGCAAGAAATTCTCTCAAGTGCATTGATCCTCTTCTTCTAGCCCCCACCAGTGTCTTCCTTTCATCCAAGGTGGAAGAATTTGGAGTCATTTCTAATAGCAGATTAATATCCACCTGTCAGACTGTAGGTATGCCAACAAATGATTTGTTTAAAAAGTTCCTTCTTTGAAGCAAAAAAAACAAAAAGTGTGATGTCCCTTTTTTCTCAAACCTAGTTGAGGCATCATATTCTTCTTGCTTATTTATTAATTTTCCTAAATGGTTTTTCTTAGTTTTCTTACATATTTTGTCCCTTTTCTTATTTAATACAGTTATTTCCTTATTGAAATGAACATTCATGCAACTATTTTAAATATAAATCACTGGGCTAGGCAATGAAACACAAACGTTAACCCTGCAACTGCAACGTTGGGGGAAGAGCCTGCTACATTCCTAACAGTTACGTGGAAAGGTTTTCAAAACCCTCATTATTCCCAGCTCTTGTGCCACCTGGTACCCCAGTATACTGTACCTAATGTAAGGAGTCAAGGCTTGTTAGACTATGCTACATTTTCATCCATTGTAACAAGGTATAAAGTGAAAGAAGAATACAGATATTACAAAAGTACATTGCACATCCATTCATTGTATCATTCACATTATGTAGCATCGAGGATAAACAAACACCATCACACTTTAGCAGTCATCCACAATCATTTAATTTAGCATATGAAATTCTTTTATTTTTCTGTGTTCTTTAACAAAAGGTTGTACACATTGCCAAAAGTGATCTAAATTGCTTTTTCTACTTTCCCAAATTCTGTCTTCTATTGCAAGTTTAAAATCTTGCTTCATATAATATAGTTTATTTATCATGTTCCATAGTTCTAATAGTTTTAAGCTCAGTACTGTAAGTAACTGAGCTCAAAGTATGGTAAATAACTACACACTACTGTAGATAATTGTATAGTACTGTAAGCAACTAATGCTGCAAGTAATAGTTACATATTTATGCAAATTACAGTGAAAATTTAATTTGGGTGACTTTGCTATTCTCTTTTCAGTCTAGTGACTGAAAAGAGAATAGCTGCTTTCTTTTTACTGCTGCATTTTACCCGATTACATTTTCTTGCTCTGTCGTAGTCATATAGTTATTATTTAGTTTTCTATATTTGCCTTAGTTGTAAACAATCCTTAACTTAAATCTTAAATTTTAAGATTTCCTTAACAAATCTTTCCTAATTTTTATGTTCTTGTAGTGTTCAACTTTCTTTAAGTCCTTGGCCTTCTTCAACAGGTCTTCTGCTTGTTTTACTTTTACATACATCAACATACATACCTGTATTCTGACAGTTTGTTAAATTTTGGATTATGTACCACCTTCTTTGTCTCGGTCGTTCCCTGCCCTTAGGTCTTGTATGTTGCATATTCGAATGGATTGATTTAACTTTTGTACTTGATGGTGGTTAATATAGGTTATTGCAAATGTTTTTTGACCAGGCTATAACTGAAGTTAATATTACTTTTCAGTGAAGAACAAGTTTTCTTATGCATACAACTCGGAGTTCCCTTACCGGACTAACAACATACTAGAATGTGAATTTTACTTACTAGAGAGTATGGACTGCTGCCTCATAGTTTACCAGCCCTACAGGTAAGAAAGGTGTCAATTATTTTTTGTTTAATAGGCTATTCTTTCCTTCTATTTCTGGAGTTTCTGCTCTTATGTAAAGTGAATGATTTTCTGCCATCAGTAGTGTATAGTATTTTGTTTCATATAAGGTTGTATGGCAATATTTCCTTAAATATGAATTTAATAAGACTTGAAATTGAAAGGTTAATAAAGTTTTTAAAACAATACAAGTATTTTTAGGCATAATAAAACCACTAAACCTGTTTTCATAAAGTTTGCATACCTTGTTTTCATTTTGAGAGATGAGTTTGTCTTGGTTTATGTCCCACAAATGCTATTTTAAGAAAGGATATCCAATTATTTTTTTTACCCTTTATCAAGACAAAGAACTGTTTTTCAATATCAGTATTGCACATACATGTATTGTCTTGGGACATTATTAAAGAGGTCAGTCATTAGCTTCATAATCAAACACATTATGTTATCACACTAACAGAAGGGAAGAAAATAAATACTGTAAATTAAAAGTAAGACAATCTTTGTAAAGTACTTTAAACAATGAGGCTAAAGAACTTGCAGATTTCCCTCATTATTAATTTAGTGTTGTGTATTTTTGTAGCACACACATACAACACTAAGTAGGGGTAGTGATAGAGAATTTATGAGTTAATTTTCTATTTCTAAAATAAAATTCCTATGCTGGTTTTCTCCCTTCCAGTTAGGTGTAAAATTTGTAACAACAGTTTAAATAAAGACTATTATTGTGTCAAGGGTTATATTATATTGCCTGTCTGTATTAATGTGTATATATATTTACAGTACTAGTACCTAAAAGGGGTACCACCTCTGGTGCAAGTGTAGATACCCATAGCCTTGGAGAAGAAAATTTTGAATACTCAGTACTGGTGAGAGAGGGATGCCTATACTGTATATTTACAGTATATATAATGTTTTTGTTTATTTGATATATTTCAGACCCTTAGTACAATATATGCAAGATCTTGGTGGGGAGGGCGAAGTGTTGCAGCTGGCATGGCGGATTGTCAATGACTCCTTACGCACTGATGTTTGCCTACTTTTTCCACCTTATGAAATTGCTCTCTGTAAGTTGAAAGGTTTTTAAACTTTTTGGTAGCTTATTCTGTGGCTATAGAGATAGTAATTCTTATCTGTATACAGTACAGTATTTTAACAATAAAATTTGGCAAATTTCCTAGATTTTGAAAATTCTGTAGTGCTTGATAAGACGGAAATTGTTGAATAAAAAATAAAAGAAATGTATTTTAAATTGATTTTGAATAGATTTTTAATATTTACAGCCTGCATTCACATGGCATGTGTGGTTCATCAAAAAGACTGCAAACAGTGGTTTGCAGAATTAAACACGGACTTGGATCGCATCATGGAGATCACCCGCTACATATTGAATCTCTACGATCTTTGGAAGTCATACGATGAGCGGAAAGAAATCCAAGGATTGCTGCAGAAGATGCCTAAACCCAATACCCAGTCAGTTCCTCGGTGATTAGAGCCAAATATATATGAAGTCTGATGAAGGTGACAGTAGAGCCTGGTCATTCAAGTGAAGACTTCATATCAGATAAGAGGAGGATTAAACTTTAAAAGTTTTCCTTTAAAACAAATTTTTAGTATCGTATTATCTATTGCTATTGTTTCTCTGGTCTTCATTGCAAATTTATTCATTTTGTTTTCTATTTCTAATGACTATTAGTAAATGCTAGTAGAGTATTTTTTTAATTGCAAATGAGGAATATTCATTGCACTCACCACTACTTTTAACTACATATTGGCACTGTACAATACATATTGGGACTGTACGCACATAGATCATGAACATGATCTATGTACGATTTAGGTTTCCACCTGTCCTCATCGCACAGCTCCTTTAATTATGGGAGATCCTGTTGGCAAACCTTCTGACTTTAACATCCTTTGTGCTGTTATTTCATTTGCTTACCTTGCACATTGCTACCAAGGTTGTCTTGTTTATGTGCACTTCAGCAATGGATTTATTGGTATAAAAGAGCACGTGTTTTCTGTGGGGGTGCCTTGTCGGCTCTCTGGAGCTATTGGACTGATATTAGCTAATATTAGTACGAGGCTTCAGTCATGTGGCGTTGTCATGCCTACCTTGGACCACTAACCAGAATATTACTAATATTAGCTAATACCAGTCCAATAGCTCCATGGAGCTGACAGGGCTATACCCAGAAAATAGTATTTCATGACATTCAACGCTGGTTTTTTCCTTTATGGCTTGAAGCTGTTAGGAAGAAGTTTCAGTAAGTTCTTGTTATGCAATTCCTGCTTTTTTGTCCTATAGTTTGCATTAGCTTTTCCGTACATTGAGGTGATATCTGCAAATGTTGATAAAATGGATTCTATTTCTCTAGGTAGATCATATACATATAACAAGAACTGCATGGATCTGAAGAATGACATCAGTATACCCTTACCTAGAGGAATACCCACTCAGATAATCCAGCCTGCCTTTTTATTATATAAGTTATAAGATATTTGCCTATGGGGCACCATATCACAGAACCTTGTGGCAATGTAGACATATACAGTTCACTCGCACAATTATTTCTAGCTTGATCTTCATCTTCCTATCGTTAAAATCTCTTGGGTTAGACAGGCTGTGCCTTCTCACTCCATGTTGGTAGTTCCATGACAAAGCCCATGGTTTCCAAGTGGTCTCTTGTTGAATTTCTTAGTATCTTCTCCATTACATAGTCAAAAACTTTGTGCTCCCTAAAACATAGGCACTACTTAACTACAAGGTCTATCTCATTATTTTTAACCCTTGTGCAGTGGCTATGGAAAAATAATCATGCCTGCCTATGCACACAAAAATCTAATTATAGAATTATTAATTTATATGCAAAATTTAAGAAAAACACAAAAAATAAGTGAATATTTATGATTTTATTGGGTGGAAATGCTCTGGAAGGTCGCGTGGTGGCTGTCAACACCTCGTGCTCGACTTTGCTGACACTTCCTGTGTTATTCTTCCATGTTTCACCACTTGTTTTTCTTTATTTACAAGTGTGTGTGTGTGTGTTGAATAACTTGATAAATCACATCATTTACTAACATATGATAATGTTTTAAATAATGATTGGTTTACCTGGTATACTCCATTACAACCAATATAGAGTAGTACTAGAAAAGGATATGAACATAATACACAATGGTGTTGGGCTCTGGGTGATGTCATAGGGCCTAATTGGCATTATATGGGAGAGAGAGTAGATTGAAACAAAGGTGTAAGCCACCAATGTGCACCCACAGATGATAATCGTCATATGATGATAACCGCATTCACTTAGTAAGTAACTAATGAGAGCAAGATTTTTCAAGGGTCAAGGTAACCTTCATTACCTATTAGACCTATTATACCCTTATAATATCATAGACCTATATATATCCTTATTTGCATCAAATGTGTAAAACCCAGACAATAATAGTTTAAATCGTCATGTGACAATAACCGCATTACCCTGTGACTGAACATATGACAGTGACCAATACCTATGTGTTAAACTGTCGGATGTTCTACTATCATCCTACTAAAAAAGGATTTGTAGGTTTTTGCTAACAGCTTACTCAGCTCCTTCCTTTAGCAGCCTTTTGCAAGAGTTTGTCTGATCCTATTGCCTTTTACATGGCCAGTCCTCTCGACCATTGCTATCTGCATCAATAGCATATGTTACTGCCCGCTTTCCTTTCAGTTTTAGAAACTGTTATTGCATAGTTGGGAATACATAACAAAATTGAGCTTTTTCCTTATTATTTTATCGCCTTATCTTGAGATGTTATCTTGATGATTTTGGGGCTTTAGTGTCTCCGCAGCCCGGTCCTCGACCAGGCCTCCACCCCCAGGAAGCAGCCCGTGACAGCTGACTAACTCCCAGATATCTATTTACTGCTAGATAACAGGGGCATCAGGGTGAAAGAAACTCAGGATCACGCCTCCAGTGTTCTGTCCGCTCAGCCACCGGCTCCTTACACAGTGTTCTTGTTTGGGATACAGACCTGTTGCTCAAAGCCTCTAGGCTGTCTTTTTCTTTTATATTGGAACAGCATTTACTATCTTCCTGACATCTGGTATCTCCCATGTAACCTATTTTCTCCTCTACCACATTCCATAACATGGCATTTATTCACATTGAATTCCATCTCCCATGTGTTGCTCCATTCACATATTTTGTCAAGGTCATCTTGAAGAGCATGATGGTCATTTAAGTCTTATTTTCACTAGTAGCTTAGCATCATCGGCAAACACATTATCATCATTTTGTACACCCCTTTGGTTGATTGTTTATACTGTATATACATTGAACACTACTAGTGCTAGTATTGAACCTTGTGGCACTTGGACTGGATGGTAGAGCGACGGTCTTGCTTCTTTCAGGTCAGTATTCAGTCCCCCTGACTGTCCAAATAGTTGGGCACCATTACTATCCTCTGCCCAAGCCTAAACCCTTATCCTTTCCAAGTGCTGTGCTATATAGCACAGCACGTGGAAAGTAAGTAAGCACTAAGCACAATGGCTTAGTGCTTTCTCCTGATAATTACCTTTCCTTACCTCTACTAGTAACATTTCTCCAATACATTGCCTCTAATTATCACCCTCATTTTTCTGTCAGTGTGTGCATAATTACCAAGTATGGCTATGGATAAGAGCTAATCTTGTGAGATTTCATCTTCTCTATAGTCCTTTTCCATACTGTATATAGTTTTCAAATTTCTATTTGTGCTTGCACACACAAACCTATCATTCAGTTTATTCCATCCTTTTGTGTTTGTGAAAGAATTCCCAAATGTTTGTCTTGGCCTCTGTTTTTGTCATTTGAACGTGTGTAATTTTTCTTTGATGTTGAGGGTTTAAATAACTGCTAATTTATTACATTAATACTCCTTGTGGCTATTATTTTCTTCGGTCTCGGAGCTATTTATTAGCATGTTTTGTATCTTTATTTTATTTGTGTTTTTTGAGGTATGAACACCATGCTTCAGTTGTATTTTCTAGCTTAGATCTCACAATTATCATAAACAATGTTTTTGAAGGTAATTCTGAATTTGTGTATGAGTGAAGATTGTGGCTTGTTGCAACAAGTAACCATGGTATACCTTGTTGTGGACAGGGAGCCTGTTATGGTTATTGACTTCTCCCTAAGCAGGGGGTGAGGCTTTCTGCATGGTCACCCATCCAGGTTGAATGGGTGACCATGCCTAAGTATCGCACAACATAGGATGCTTAACTGCTCAAAGCACACATCACTACAGTACCGTGGCATTGATTATGCAGGTTTTACTAGAACACGATTCCAGTTGGATCACATGTGATGCCATAAAGGAGAAAGTAGAAGGTAGTGAAAAAGATACAAGAGAAGTTCACAAGCAAAGTAGAGAAGGAAACACTAAAAAATATGAGTGTATTTAAGTGACTGCAGCAGATCATTAAATACAAGTGTAAATAGGGTATTGTACTAGATAAAGGAGACTAATGTTAAAAATGTCAACATTTGTGTTACTTTTAGTTGAAGCACTACTGTAAATAATTAAAGTTTATATACTGCATTACAAGTATTCCCTATCAATGTCTTCCATGTTTCACCTATTTTTACACTTCTCATTTTTCAACAGGGCATAAGAGAGAGTAATGCTAGCCTGTTTTTCTGGAAGGATCCTCTTTGAGGCCCTGTGAGCTTAACTCTTGTACCACCAAGCAATAACCCAACACCGAGGATTACACTGTAACCCGCCTCTGAGACCCATCCACCAGGGCTCGTTGCTTTGATTGTTTTTGTATGCTTTATGATTGTGTTCTTACCACCCACAATACATGTGCCGTAGCATTCTACTTTGTTCCAACTGTGGCCTGGGTTGCTTCTCCTGGAGTTGGCTTGTATTTCTCTATACCTCGCCATAGATGGTGGGCTGCCTCCTTTATGAGTTAACTCTTCTTGAGTTGCCTCATTTTTGGCCATTACTTGAGGTTTGTTCTTCCCTGCTGGGTCTGTTGATGGCAGTCATTTTTATATATAAAAATTGAGAGAGAGGGGGAAAGAAATTGTCTTATGTTCTAGTGCATATTAAAGACCCTACTGCCATGGTTATGAGCCTTACACTTTAGCCGAGTGGCAGATGAGCGGTAAATGTGCCTCTTGGGATCCCTGCTCTCTGCATACCTACATGTTTGTGTGATGGTTTGAAGTCAGTCTTTTCATCCCTCTGTGGGGTATAGTGTCTGGTGTGTGTGTATTCGGCTGGGTCATTTTGGCTTCTCTATCCTGCTTGGTCAGGAATGGTGTACAGCTTCCCCTCAGACTGTAGACACTGTGTAAGCCAAACTTTACAATGTTGAATTTTGCAGCCTGTCTAAACTGGGTGGTGAGGATGCTGGCTTCCTGCAGGTCACCTGAGCTGCCATCTGATGGCAGTCAGGCACATCAAAGTCAGGGTGTTTACCCCACAGCAATGACTTTGTCTTGTTTACCTAGGAGTGATTAATTTTCCTCACAGTCGCCTGTTTACTTGTGCCTATGCACTCTAGTGGGTTTTCCAGTGTGGTTGGTCTCGTATCCCATGCTTTTCTCATCTTGCCTTGTAAAGTGAGCCAAATTCTGGTCCTGATTCCTGGTAGGCCATGAATGGGTCTCGGAGGCTTGTTGTTTTGGGTCGAGGTTTGCTGGTACCAGCGTTAAGTTTTGGAAGTTACTGGAGGTCCATCAGGAAAGGGTATTTCATTACACTCATCAATGATCTGTATTAAAAACAGCTGACAGTATGCTAACACTGTCAGATGTTAGCAAACAGTTACAGTTAGCATTAGTTAGATGTAAGATGACGTTCATTGACATAATTTTTTTAATTACAGTAATGAGAAAATTCAACAAATTAGATCTAATAATTTTTATAATTTTTTTTGACTATGTTCTTGTACCCCAGTTTCTTCACTGAACATAAATGGAAATGTCCTTCAGTCATCCTTTTACATTTCTCATCATTGTATTAATTTATATACACTTCCACTCTGATCTTCATATAAACTTGATTTTTTTCTACTTGCCTCATTTCCTTGTATCTACTGTTGAAATGATATAACTTTAGTGACTACTTGAAGGTAAATGTCAGATCAGTGGTAGAATGCCGGTTACTTCATGTAAATAATTAATTTTCTTAGAAAATAATGATTATTTATGATTAAGTTCAGAACTACTGTTGTACAGTTGGAGTTCCTGTAAATTGAATGTAATAAAATTTGTCATAAATATAAAAGTATAAAATTAAAACTTTTTTTTATATTTTTCCTCTGGTTCATTTGTCTATTTCTTTTGTCTACCATATGTAGGGAAAATGAGCTAAGCCTAGAAATAAAAATCCTGTAAGTTTGTCGTCATTTGATGAATCCATAATATAACTTCATTATTGTTTATAAAATATACATGTAATTGGTTCATAGGCTATAGTTAAGAAAATATTTTCTCAAAATTAATGCATGCACTAATGTTTAACCCATTTAAGATAATTAATAATCATTATTTAAATTTTTTGGCACCAATATCTTCTAATTGCTTCCTCTTATATTTGTAAAATCGTCATTATTATGGACATCTTTTCGAGGCCTGAGGGAGCAATGACATATCAATAGAAACAGCAGGACTTTTGAACATGACACTGTATCTTAAATAGTCTCCAGACTACCATAATAGTAATAGTAGGCATCCATCAGTCTCAGGAGACTATGGAGCTGTACTCTGGTTGTCAGTCTGGAGTGGCTTCTCCAGGGCGCAAAGCTAGGATGAGTTGATATGGGGGGATGGGGTGAGAAGCTGTCACCTATGCAGCAGGTCCCCCCTCTCCATGGCGCCGAAAGTGCCCAATGGAAAGGCAAACGGCAATATGACTGGTTTCAGCGCTGTCGCAGGAACTGAAGGGCAAAGTTGAAGGCAACAACGAAATGCCTTAGGGGCTCCAGCTCCAGAGTTTACCTCGAGATTGATAAAAGAAGGCATAGGGACTCCAAACCCGGAGACCGTCGTGGTCAAGGCCGGAGAAGAACCACCCCAGCAAGGCCAAGAACGACCCCAGCCTCTTGAGCCTCCTTGGGCCGCACCAGTTGATTGACGGTTGAGAGGCGGGACCAAAGAGACAAAGCTTGACCTTCGTAAGCACAACTAAGCGAGTACGAGCCCCTGAAGCTGGACATCCGAGTCCCGCACTTACGGGTTCCAGACAGAGATCATCACAGAGATCATTTCACCCGAGGCCGGCTTTCTTCATGACCCAGTAGAAGGACGAGTAATAATTATTATTATTATTATAATTGTTGTGCTTATTATAATCGCCCACATTGAAGTGTGGGTGATTCATGCAAAGGTATTAATAACAAGTGTGTATACTGAATTATATATATATTGTATACAGTAACCTAAAAAAAATACAATTTTTCTTATTCTATTTTATTAAAGGACAGGTATGAAATAATAAGTTTTAACAATATTTATAAAGTAAAACTGAGCTTGAATGGGGGGACATAATATTTGGCTTTTTCACCATCATAAATATTTTTATATACACGAGTAATAATTCATGAAATGCTGTAGAGTACTGTACTTGAAAACAAGTCGATCCCACGAATAAGTAATGATCAGAAATTCTGTAACTAGTCACAGTACTTAATCTGATGCCTCACTCAAAGGTGGTGGAGGTTGCATTTCATGGTGCTGTCTTTTAAAAATTATAACTACAAAAATATTTTATTTCACAAATCATAATTTGAATCAGTAGCTTCTTGCTTAAATGTTCTCTCCATTCTGTGCTGTCCATGATCTTTTGTCGTGTCCCGAGTTATAACCCCTGAATGACCATTGGTCCCTTCACTGTTGTTGTATGAGGACAGGCATTGAGAAGCATGCGGAGAAGTAGGCATCTGTGTGGCTTCCCCACTAGTATTCATTCCCATGGCCACTCCACCTCCGGCTGCAGTGGCAGCTCCTAAAGGTATTGGGAGACCAACACCACCAGGAGGAGGAGCTGGTACTCCTATTCCAATTCCTCCATCACCTCCACCGTATCCACCTCCAGACCCAGTTGAGACACCATTTACAGCATCACCATTTGCTCCTGGTAAGTACAAACCTATGTTAATTTACAGAAATTCTTAAGTCATAGTACAAATGTGTATATATTATTTCTATATGTCCAGGAATAGAAGAAAATTAAACACACACAAGTGGCAAATCATTGACACAGAAGAGATTAACAAGATTAACTAAATTTTAAGATCTTGAATTAAAATATAATTTACAGTAATATTGTAGTAATAAAGTGTGCTGAAGTAATGTTGTAAAAAAGATATTTAGAAAATGTGTTTTCCAATATTAATTACAGTACTGTAAAACTTTTGTGGTCTGATGACTAACGTGTTACTGAGAAGGGCCCAGAGAGGGCTTCACTGCTTCCCATCGGGTGTGCAGTATGGGGCTTACCTCAAAAATGTTAAGAGTATACAGTAGATGTATGTGTGTAAAAAAAAAAAGAGTCAAATGTATTTCAGAAGTAAGCAAAAGACAACAATTAGATAGAGAAATATTACATAATTCCACAAAAAAATCATCTGGGGGGGGGGGGAGGTTCTTAAGTTTACTAATTTGATGTCAAATGTTGATTAAAATGTAGAAGAATATAAGAAGTCATTTATAAGTTAGTAATGTTATTAAAGTGATAATATACATGCCTCCCAAAAGCATTTCCTGTAGCAGATTGTCAATCCTAGCAACCCCAAAGAGCTTGGCAAATTGGATTTGCTCTATCATCTGCCATGTAATTGACTGTAATGCTGGGAGTGTGAGTAGAATCTCTCCAAATCTACCACGTGACTCATACTGTCGATCATTGATGTAGTCTTCCAACAACAATTGTACTTGATAACGTAGAGCCTTCACTCTCTCGACATTACGCAGACCTCGAATAACTGTAAAAATATGTAATTTGTAATACTGTACTGTACCTACATACTGTATATATATTAAGATCTTTAGAGAGACTTTGTAAGGCTAAATAATCAATTACAGGACAGATATACTGTATACACAGTTCAAGAGTCTGACCTGATAAATATGAAACTTAAAAAATATAAGTGCTTTTATTTACTTGATATACAGTAATATATTTCAAAGTATTGTACAGTCCAAGATTATATCACTAAATACAGTACTTACAGGGATATATATACTGAGTGTTTATATACAAGAGTATGACCTGGCATTATTTTCATAAGGACATACAGTACTGTGCTGTATAGATATATGCCTGTCCTGTACTGTATTTAAGTACTGTACTTGATGAATCATGTCATATACAGTGAGTTCTAACAAAGCTTTGTATTTCTAGCTGTAGCTTTGAAAGAAAGTACGGTACTTTTGACTAACCAGGATCAAAGAAGACAATAGCTTTGAGACATGCATACTCATGTTCATCTACTTGGACACCTCGCAGTGGCCGGATAAGTTCATCCATGATCCGCTGACCAATTCTGCTGAGTTCCATCTCTGCTGACAAGACAATAATAATAATATTGAAAAAACCGGCGTTGACTGTACTGAAACAATCCGTTCACAATTCACAATTACACCGTGAGATCTCTCATATACCAGGGCCATAATTCATCAAACATTTATGCAACCGCTTATTCATTTTGTAATGAAACGCCTCTATCTGGTAAAGTCCCGGTGGCTCCCAGAGGTTATCTCACAGAGATGGCTCCCTACTAATGGGTCACATTAGTCACTTGAGGCCTATTTGGCCTACTGTTGACCAGACCTAGAACTTGGCCTCCTTACAGAGGCACAAGGAGCAGGCAATTATTATAATGAACCTCGTCAGGAAAGCATACAGAAAGTCAGTGAACCAATACAAATAACTGCATAGTTCATAGAAAATGGAGCATTGAAACAGGCAAATGACTCCGTAAATTATAAAGTCAAAACAGTATGATTCACCCAAAACTACAGTCGTTTGAACTCATTAGTCCAAATGGCCACCACCAGACGGCCAATAGCTGCCCGCCAGTCAATTCAGAGCTGGTGCATAAGGAACCAATGAACCTGGTAGGGAGGAATTGAGTCAGGGAGCCACTGGGGCTCTACCAGAAAGGGACATTTCATTATATTTAATTGAATTCAATGCTGATTTTCTGGAGGAGCTCCTTGGTGGCTTCCTGAAGCTAACTAACCACAGAGAAAAAGAGAGAAACAAGGCATTTACCAGGGAGGAGGAAAGGTGTTGGGTATTAGATCGAAGAAGTGACAGTGGGCCAGGAAACTCAACTTAGTGCAACATAAGACCAACTGGGACCAGGAACATTAACCAAATACTGGGCTGCCAAGACCCTGTTAAACCTCCAGAACCTCAAGCCTCTAATATTAGCCCACAACAAGTTGGAAGAGAGAAGAGCAGGTGGGACATCAATAAGCCAGCCAGCTGCTTACCATACAAATGGTGATAGACCCATGTCAAAAACACCAGATGTGTAGAGCAAAGAAGGTCGAACAATGAGGTACTTTGCTAGGCAAACTACCGGTTGTTTTGTTCAGTTTCTTCTCTTTCTCAACAAGCTTTGTGGTTTGTTTTGCTATGCTTGTATTTTCTGAGTATTTTTTGGGAGGGTGCGAAGATGATATTTGATCCCTTTGCTTCCTTCACCTCGATGAGCAGATCATATTCAGTTCTGGTGTTCCATAGGTCTACACCAGCTCAGAGATCTGGTAGCAGTGTGTATCTGTAGTATTAGATCCTAATGCACCGGAAAGCTTCCAAGAAGCAAGCCTAGAAATATACCCAAAATAATGAACTTCCTTCAGTACTAACTTAAAATTCACTATAAGACTATTTCATCCAGTATTAGGTATTAGTCTAATATTAATTACAGTATCTACCCATTTCACATTGTACAACACATTTCAATTTAATTTTAAGGATTGTTAAAAGGGGTGTGCATACCACGAAGCTTTGTACAAATGTGTTCATCCCACTTACTGTACTTCCATATGAACTCCAATACTCTCCAGATTAACCTATGTTTCTACAAATGCAAATGTTTGTGTTAATGTTTATCTTTATCATTTCTGTTTCTGTGAACATTTAGCGGCACTCTTCACTCAGGTCAGTGACCGCAGTGGAGACATTTTCATTGTCTGTTTTCACTAAGATGTGGAGGCAATTGGCCTTTAGTATGGTGAAGATAGAGATGAATTATGAGTCCCCATTCCAATCTTCTTCCCATTTTGTTAACCACACCCATACACAAATCAATAAAAATTTATCCAATTAAAAAATTATTGTCTGCTAACAAAATTTCTGTTATTTAATGTTCCGTGGAACTTTAAATCTTTTTTTCATTATTTACATGGGCATAGGAACACTTACATAGCTGTCGCTCTACAACATACCACTCTTGTATATCTGAAACTTGCAAACCAATTTTCTACCATCATTCTATACAGTGAAAACATAAGGATCACCACTAACTGAGTAATTACTTCGTTAATTTTCTACAAAGCATAATTTTACTACGCTCCCTTCTAAATCTTTCCTCATACTATTTTTAATTATTTCCCAAAGCACTTTTCTCTATCACATTCATCTTCACAAGAGAAGTGCAACAATTGTGTATAATGCACCAGCCCCATCCTATTTATAAACAATTCTCATTACAGCCTAGCTGGATTAATGGCTTCTATGCTTAAAAATATTTTTCCTGTGATTTGCTCTCTGGTTACAGTGATGTTACTCAGCAATGCATTGAATTACTATGTTTCCGTATATACCAGATTTTACAAGTACTGTATTTAAATCATACTTGTCCTTTCCTTTTCAGAAAGAAACAAAATTTTCACTTTAGATTTACAAGCAACTGAAGTAAATCTTAAGACTGTACTATACAAATCATAGATTCATCACCAAAATTATTAATACCAGAAGAGTTTCTGAGGATGACACAGTCATTGCCAAGGAGGATCATATCCTGGATGTTCATAGAACGCCACGCAGCCCCAAGCAGCAGGTGCTCTCCAGCATGGGCCCGCAGAAGTGCCACCTGTGGAAGATCGAAATGGTCACTTCACCTACTTAAGACAATTTAAAACGGCTTGGCAGGCAAAAGTATCTTTTCAAACTAGGCATGGAAAGGAAGGATGGTCAATGTATTTGGTTATAAACATATTTCAGAGAAATCTGGTGCCTTGCTAATCTGGAAGAGATGATAACTCACTGGTGTAGTGAGTGTGAGAGGACTAAAAATATCTTCACAAGGTAGTGGAAATATTTATACTTTGAAGAGTGGGAAAAGAAAGAGAGGAACACACATGGATATAGCACATGGGAAGCTGAAGTAGATACAAATCTAGAATATAATAGACAAAAATGCTGGTTAATAGTACTTGGTTAGAACTGCTGAAGGTACTTTTAATGCCTGTTATGACAAATACAAATTCTTTCAACACACTACTTGAATGTTGGATATAAAGGTGATCGTTATGTGCAGACTTGGCAATGCGAATGATCCATATATTTCAACAAGACAAGTGAGAGGCTGCTTCAATATCTGGGAAGAGAGGAGTAATTTATTTTGTCAATACTTCAGCAGTACAATAGGCAAATAATTACAACACTTAGTGAGTACTGCAATTATATTTAACTTACAATACAAAGAATTTTGCATTTCATAAACTACATATAAACAGAAGTTGGCAATCAATCAAATTCTGTCAGCATGGGCCTCCATCTGTAAATTTTGTACATCTGCATCAAATACAAAGCAGTTTTGAGTGGTCAGATTTGCTGGTAACGATGAAAATTATATATACTATACCATGTTCTTTAGATGTGGCAAGACAACTACAGTATAAGCATTATTATCATGGTTGAAATATGCAATGGATAACTAATGATATACCAGGCCTATAATTTTATGCAACTACTGTATTGCAAGTAGAGTAATAAGCATCAATGCAGTTGGTTATTAAATGCTGTGAAGAGTTTTTATGCAGAAAAGACAGTAGAGCATATGTGAAAGTTAAAAGTTTAAAGAGTAACTTGTTTGATATTAATGTAGGAGATGTGTGACGTTCTCAGGGATGTTCAGTTTATATGTGGATTGGGTAAAAGGAAGAATGCTAGAAAAGTGTAAAATAATTATATGATAAGAACAAATGAAGCATGCTCGTATGCAAATGATGCTGTTCTTCTAGTAGAAAACGGCAGATTATATATACTACTATATTATATTTATATATATATATTTGTGTGATGGTGGCTAGGGAAATGAATGCCTAGTTAGATTAGATTAGATTACAGAGAACAAGATAGGAACTAACGTAGGAGAAATGCTTTTTAGAGTAATAATGTAGGGTCTACCCTTATCTACTGAGTTATAATGCTGGTGTATCATCAGAATTAAAAATCAAGAGTTTGGTAGTAGAGACTAGTAGTCTGAGATGTATTTATAGTGTTAGAGGATGGATAGAGTAGGGAATGAAAATATTATGGAAAGATGTTAAGAGTACAAAAGTCTGTAAATCCTAAGATTAATGAGCGATGAAATTATTGGGTCATATTGAACAAATGGATGATGAGTGAGTGATGAAAAGTGTGTATATGAGTTAATTTAAAGTTAGAAGAGGCAGGCCAGAAAAATTAGACATGGTGAATATATGAGGAAGCAAGAATCAAATGTGATTAGCAGATGAGAGTTATGAAATACAGATAAATGGCATCAGTTTGATAAGAGAATGAATGTTTGAAATTTTTAAAATGAGAATTCATGTAATACGTTCTCGACTAGTTTTTTCTGGTAGGGAAGAAATTCATCCTGATGTCTGGGCTATTAAACACTTCACTAGGTTGTGTGAATCATTAGGGTGCTGAAGTGTGACGGTGGTGAGTGTGTGTGTTTTGCTGCAGCATGTAATGTGGTACATCTTTACTTTTTCTCTATATTGCTCTAATATTTCTTCCAGGTTGATGCCCTGAGGAAGTGGGAATCAGGTGGGAGTGATGATGAATTAGATACTAGATAGAATAATAATCCTGTATAAGCTTCACAGTGTAAGGTTACTATTTGTAAAGATGTTACAAGTATAATATCAGACTGAAAAGCCCTCATTAGGAAGCTGACAGACCTAAAAACAATGAGCAGTATGTAACAGGCACATCTGATGGACCATCTGCGACGAAGCCGTACCTAACAGGCATAATATAAGATATGAATTATTGTATTGTACAGTAATGCCTGAAATATTTGTGCCCATTTTGAGGCAGTTGATGTAAAGTAACACACTGGCCCACCTTGTTAGACAATAGCTAATGGGAGTAACTGGTGCTTCCCATGATAGGCAGTACCTGATGGCCGATACCTGGTGAGCCTCCCCTGATGGGTCTTACATGATGGACAGTACCTGATGGGAAGTAGTGATGTGATATGAGCAATGCACCTTGGAGGCTTTTAGGCAATTTCAAGAGTATCTGACCCATAAAGAACTTCATAATCAAAAAACAAAATCACTACATTATTCCGCAATAAGATCTTGTTGATGCCCTAATCACATGATAATTATCAACCATACTTAAATACACAGTTTAAACAAGTGAATTTACATATAAATAATATATTGATTTTGCTAATGAAGATTATATAGAAGTTTTTATTACAGTACTGTATTGTATATTTCATAAACTTCTAAAAAAAACAAATCTAATTTGAATAGGTTTCTGCTAAACATTATTGGTGTTTTTATTTGTTATAACTTGATAGTATGTTATACTACTGTATAATTAAACTGATTACAAAAATACATATGTACCATGTATGAATATAATATTAGCAAACATTATCACTATAAATAGGTTAGATTTAACATCACAAACACTTTCACATCTTCAATAAAGTGGTTTTGATTCATACCGAGTGATGCTATTCCCAATTTTCAAGACAATAGGGAAGCTCTCATATCTGCAGGAGAGAACATTAAGGGAGACAGGCTCAAGGGAGACAGGCTCAAAGAACTCAATCTCATCAAAGCTTCACAACATAGCTTAGTGAAATTTTGTCAAACTAAACTGACCTCATTAAAATAATGAACAAGTTAGATAATGTACCTTCAAACCACTTGCTCCAGACGTTTGATGTTTCACACACCAACAACCAAAAGTTCCGAGCATATCGAGCCACAATGCAGAACATGTATTCTGAACAAGGAATTTTGCTTCTTCCGAGTAATAAACTTGGTCTAATAATAGCTGGTCATCACAGCTATTAAGGCTGGTGACCAGTAGGCAAAATACAGTACTGTAATGATGTGTATTAAACAAACCATTGGGCAGCACCTCAGAAATCTTGAACAATGTTGAGATCTGACCCAATGAGAAACTGACTTGCCATATGCCATAGTACAGTATTCTGTACCTGGCCTGTATATACTAAAACAATCAAAGTTTTATCTGGGTATACCATCTAATATAATATCTTCACCCCCAATATTTAAAAACACAAAAGATGATATTTATTTTCAAATAATTTTTAAAAAGTCATTTATTTGGACACTACTTGCCAACCACCAACTGAAGACCAAACTTGGTCCTAAATTTTACTAAGTAATTTTACACTTAAAAAATTGTCTTATGCACTTGTCTTTTTACATATGTTTTGTGCTGTTATCGTTTTTTGTTAGTTTTTTCCACGTCGCGGTGAGTTGCATCATCCAAGATCACACAGGTTTTTGTCCAGAAAGCCTCCACAAGTGTGAGTGGTAATTACCTGACTGTTTGATGCTTGAACTTTTGAATGGTAGGCAGAATGAGAAGTATTTAGATTGAAAGCGATTGGATGTATGAGGAGCAACCTATTGAGAGAAATAGGCTGCTCCTAATATGATCAGGAGTAAGCACTGCAACAAACTAAATAAGCTGTAATTGATGGTGTATTGCTAAAGGGTTCTCAGTTACTATAGCTGATTATATATATACTGTAATGGGGAGGACCTGATGGCCTAAGTTAGTAGATTATAAATGATGGGAAGTACCTGATGGTCTTTCAGTGTTAAACTACACAGTATGCTATATGATGGGCACCAGATAATATATATATGCAACTTAGGGTACTTGGGAGGAAGTTGTTGGTTGAACTGACCTGATCATCAAGGATGAGGTCACAGAAGGCAGGGATGTACTTGGCCCACTCGACTAATATGAGCAACTGCTGCTTCATGCTGTCACACACATCCATAACCCCGGCCACCTTCTTGTTCATCATGCTCACATCCCCAACAGCTGGAGAGAACTGTAAAAGGGGCAAGGTTGGGACAGGCTAGTCACTCGATGAAGCAGAAATAAGAATGTATGTACAAATTTTAAGTGAGAATATAAGTCAGATCAGTGGACAATTTCAGTTAGCAAAGAGAGAAAAAAATGTGAATGAAGGGCTAGTGCAAGATGAATGACTATCCATATGAGCAGAGTGCTTAATTATCATGTACCTAATGTTTATTTATTTATATACAAGAAGGTACATTGGGTTTGTGAGAATACATAGCATATTTACAATCTTGTAAAGCCACTAGTACGTGCAGCGTTTCGGGCAGGACCTTAATCTAACAAACAATTTTAAGTAGGTAAATTCTAGCTGAATTAACAAAATGATAACAGATAAGTAATATGAGGAATAAAAGGCATATTTATGTTAAAAGGTTTAGTTCCTTCAAAAATATAAATATATATATATGTATGTATGTATGTATGTATGTATGTATGTATGTATGTATGTATGTATGTATGTATGTATGTATGTATGTATATGCACTAACTTGCTTAAACTCCCAAGTGAAGTTAAACAACATTTAGACACACAACCCATCAGGAGACTCGAACCCCAGCCAACACAGTTACTTACCAGTAACTGGCATAACTCCTTAAACCACTGCACCAAACTCAGACCCTTAAAAGTGATGTCCCTTCCCTTTTAAGGAGAGCGCATTCATATATTTTACCCTACTGTGTAATCAAACATTTGATATTCTCAAAAGATATATAAATATTACATACTGTAATTTTGTGTGTATATATAGTTAAGACTTAGAGTAAGAGAAGTTAATTGTTCTGGGTCCATTTAAGGACAGTTCGAATGTTTGATCAGCTGTGAATCACCAGTCGTGTGCAAATTGTTGACTCATAAACAATGCGGGTGGCGGTTGGATTAATTAGCATTTGCCCAGTTTTTATGAGAATTGCTTAGAGAAGTTGCAGACGAACTGTGTTAAAAAAAAACTGGCAAGCAAGTGTCTTGAGTGAAGTAAAGTCTTGATGTAAGTAGACAAGGATGAAATGACAGGTAAGCCACGCAACCACCTGACCTGACCTGACCTGACCACAGAGCTAGGTAAACAATCATCAACAGAAGGCACCAAGCCTAGAAGACTATGTAGCACAGCCCTACATGTGTGTGCTAGCACTCATGGTTAAATGGTGACGACGAGCGGAGGTCTGGCCTACGCCCGGAACGCCTGACGCCACTTTACCCAGTGGGTCTCTGTACTCCCCCATGGTCCGGACTGTCCCGACGCCTGGCGCATTATCGCCCGGGGTCACTGGCAAGTTGGTAGATTTTTTCAGTTTTCTGGCCGGTTCTTGTGGCGGGGAGACGGTATCCGGCGCCGGCTTGACCGAGAGGTGCCGTGGGTCTTGGTGGGGTCCTGGCGTGTGCCCCTCAGGGCGTGGTGGGTGCCTGGCTCCTGCCCTCCCGGAGGTCACAAGACGTGTTTGCTCAATTGGGTATGAGTTTAGGAGGGACCATTGTAATTCTGCCACAACTTTGTCTATCTAGCATTCTGTGTCGGGTGGGAGCCGGTGGGGGACTTGGGGCTCTCCAAACGTTTGCCTTTTAGTGTGTTTTTACTCCGTAAGGCGGGTTTCTTTTCGTCGACATGCGATGTTAATGTAGCCGCAAGGGGCTTTGCGTTTTATACCGTCAAAGGGAACACAGAGACACCCACCCCTGGCATCACTGCCGTCGTGACCCCTTCATCAAACAACATTTTGTTTTTATATTTTATATTTAATATTTTGTCAATATTACGTAAAATATTAAGTATTTGTTTACATTCTGCTGCTTTATCAGACAGCATTTTTTTTTTTTTTTTGCACATGGTGGGTAGAGGAACAGACGACTGCTGACTCCTGTTAGCGGGCTAAGAGCTTTCTTATTTCATTGCTCATGGTAATCCGTAAATTATCTACTAGTTTTCCCTGGGTAATACAACCCCACCAATCGTTAACGACCAAGTACCCAATCAGTGTTGGGTGAACAGAGGAATATAGTTGCAAGGAGTTACTCGAAGATCTTGAATGACACTGCCATTAAATTCAATAGTTTCTTCTCATCCATTGGCACATCCCTTGCAAATAATATCCCATCATTCCTAACTAATGTTAAAGACTACCTCACAGGAATCTATCCAGAGTCTGTACCTATCTCCCACTAATTCCTCTGACGTTAATGAGATAATCCTTTCTCTTAAAACAAAAGTCAAGTGCCCTTGCTGAGATAATAACTAATTTAAAAAAAAAATCCATATTTTTAGCTCCGGCCATTACATTGCTCTACAACAAATCACTCGATCTCCAAACCTTTCCGGATATTCTACAAAAAAAAATAGTAATCCCAGTCCATAAAAGTGGTGATCTCACTAATGTCAACAATTTCAGATCAATATCAATCCTGCCAATCTTGTCAAAAATATTAGAAAAGTTAATCTACAAGCAACTTTACTCTTATCTAGCCAAACACAATATACTTAGCTCTTGCCAATATGGCTTCAAAAAAAAAAAAACGCCAATGATGCACTGAATAGTATGATTAACTTTATACGTGACATAATAAATAATAATAACATAATTTATCTCTTGATAAAAATGAGAACCATGTTGTGTTATTTGTTGACCTACGTAAGGCTTTTGACAATGTTAACCACAATAACCTTGACTTACAACATTATGGAGTCAGAGGTCACTCCCTCCAGTCATACTTCAGTGACAGGCTCCAGTATGTCTCTTTGAATGATTCCAATTCTCCCCTCCTACCCATCAATATTGGTGTTCCACAGGGTAGTATACTTGGCCCTCTCCTCTATCTCGTCTATGTTAATTACTTTCCAAATACCTCTCAACACCTCAAGCCAATTTTATTTGCTGATGACACAACCTTCATTTTCTCCAGTCCTAACTCTCTTATCCTGAATGAAACGGTGAATACTGAACTAAATGTCTAAATTTAGACTTTATTTTAAATAAAGTTTATCTTTGGCTAACTGCTAACAAACTCGCCCTTAACATCGATAAAATATATATCAATGAAGAAATTAGAAATTTCTTCATTGATATTTATTTGAAAAAATTATTAAAGTGTTCAGTGAGAATCCACAATGTCTTCTCTGAATACTCTTTATTTTCTTCGCCGAGGCTATGGGTCCCTAAAATAAATATGTATGTTTTATATATATTACAACTGAACTGTAATGCTAATCCTGTACAATGTCCTTTCCAATCACGTCAAAGTCTGTCCCTCAACCAGTTTATATAAAAAAACTAAGTACTGTACTACCTAATCAACTCCATGTAACCTATCCTACCTCCTAAATGTCAACCTATGTCTTGCTATTCTCAAACTTTAATGACTAACTTCTATAACTGCTGACATCTGTCATGTATAAACTTAAAGAAAATTGCAGTCCGTATGTTTATTTAGTTAAAATGACTTGTGCTCTTCCGTTGCACCATTCCTTCCCCCCGTCCCATCCCAAATCCTTATCCTGACCCTTTCCCAGTGCTATATAGTCGTAATAGCTTGGCGCTTTCCCCTGATAACTCACTCCCTCTTCCGTTGCAATTTCTGCTGTTCCATTCAACATGTAATTATTGACATAATTTGTATTCCTATTTCAGTTCAATTCTTGCTTTTGATCTCAATCATTAAGTCTTAGTTTTTAAGTTTCTTCCCACATCTTGCCCGAAAATATGTGCTTATTAATGACTTTAGGCATAGTATATACTAGTATATACATTATCTGCTGATGTAGACCTGACCAAATGTAAACCGTCAACAAAATTATTCGCACACCCTCCGTCATTATGTGATGGAGTGCGAAAAGATACGTGAGTTCAGAGACTATTCTATAACAAATGATTCTGAAATGTTTAAATATTTAATTCAAATGATCTGCCACCAGAAATTTTAGCCAAATTTCCCCAGTTTGCTAACTGTAGGTAGTAACTAAGTGATTGTAACCTATCCACCGCTGCCCACTGGATGGGGGGCGGTGTGCAGGACAAACATATCAATTGTGATGTTGGCTCTCTACATATGTCAGTTGCTAAATTTAGAAACTGTACTTGTGGTCAATCTCGAGCCCATTGATGATGTGACGTGTATTGAATTTTGTAACTAACTCATCGAGATTGTAACTTGCTTAGCTAAATGAATTGTGGGGTTCAGTCCCTGAGCCCATTATGTGCCTCCGTAACCCTTTCCACTACCGCCCACAAGATGGGTATGGGGTGCATAATAAAGGAACTAAACTATAGCTCTCGGCCATCTCTGGCTTGTTCAGATGTTCACGCAGCAACCCTGTACACGTGTTCGTCTTCGTCCAACCACTTGCCGTTGGTGTTTGTGTGTGTGTGTGTGTGTGTGTGTGTGTGTGTGTGTGTGTGTGTGTGTGTGTGTGTGTGTGTGTGTGTACTCACCTCACCTATTTGTGCTTGCGGGGGTTGAGCTCTGGCTCTTTGGTCCCGCTTCTCAACTGGTGTACAGGTTCCTGAGCCTAGTGGACGCTATTATATCTATATCATGATATCACACATGATATCTCATATCATGTGTGTGTTTTAAAGCGCATGCATGTGCGCATTATTCATCAGTATAATTAATATGTTGGCTCTTCATTCTTATTTCCTTTCAACCGTCGAAAAAGAGGTATTGGTGAATATGAGTGTAGAGTGTATAATTATCACATTAATGGAAACTGTGGAGAAGCCTCGTTTACGACCACACAAAGTCTCGTTTGTTAATACTTTTCTCCTTATTTTAAACCCTTGTGTGGCCAGACTATATTAACTGGAGACCATCTTAGCAGATACACATACCTAATGTTCACGAGGAGTTCTCGCCTTGGAGAACTTGCAGCTAGGCTTTGTGCATTCCTTAAACAAAAAGTCAGTTAATGATCATCAACTTGTGGGCTATTGATGCCAGCGCCACCTCTTGGGTGGCTTAATCTTCATCAAATTATCGGTTATCAACGTCTCGGAATGTATGTCTTCGACGACCTTGAATTGTTATCTGATAATTATTTTTAGAGACACTGAATGCGTAGTTGATGTAAAGTTTGAGGATGTTTCTCATTAATGAAGGATGTATTCACATTGTGCACGTCTTACAGTCTTACATTTGTGCATGAATGTTCACACACGTTTGGTTTAATGTAGAGAAGTGTTTTATATAGATATGGTTACTGCATGTTGAACCATAGGCCCTGTAATAAGCATAGTTACTGTGTTAATGTTGGGGGTTTTGGGCTGAGGTTAGTTACTGAAAGTCAACGCGTGTGTATGTGTGACCCAGACAGCACCAGGGTCGCAGAGAGGTAAGGGACCTGCATCCTGGGAGGTTATTATCGTAGCGGGGTGTGCATGGAGGTTTATCCCGTGCCTCCATTCGCTGCATGGAATAAAGGCTTTACGATTTCATAAGGCTACCCATCTTGGGCCACCATGACTCGTCAGGCTTACACAAACAGTGCAGATAAAACATCGTGTAACAGAAATGATAGTAAACTAAACTTGGGTAATTATAATAGGACACTGAACGGCCTGAACACATCGGTGTGATGTTATTTGTTTACAACTGACGCATACACACACACACACATATCCCACAGTGTGGTATAGTAAATGATAAGGTCAGGTTGTGTAAAACAAGACAAAACAGTTACCTAGGCTACAACTGACGCTTTCCTCATTCGTATGTTTAAAACCAAAGACCAGGAACTGGGTCATACTCTCCTAACATTATATCATTCAATGTCCAGTCGTTAGACTTACCGGTATATGCTATTTGGAGCGCGACAATTCATCCCTTCATTCATATTCGTGAAGATAATATCATTACCGATCATCGTTTTGCTAGTATTATGTACAAGCTTCCCGTGAGACCAGGATCTTGCCATCACATGTGTGTCTCTTGACATGGTTGCAACCCTTCGTATAGTTTAGAGGTACCATAATAAAGTAGCATAAGTATGTTAATGGATACAAATGAGAATGTTTTTAACAGTTGATATTAATGTAGAGTGGTGACGCTGTGATTAATTGGGTGCCTGGAGGAGTGTGTTTGGGGGGAGGGGGGAGAGGGGACGTCGACCCATAGATAGAACTGTTTTATAAGATAACATGTAGAATGTCAGAGTGGGTGCAGGTACCCACCTAAGGTGAGAGAGTGAACGCAGGTACCCACCTGAGACTAGAGAGCGAGTGCAGGTACCCACCTGACGTGAGAGAGTGAGTGCAGGTACCCACCTAAGGTGAGAGAGTGAACGTAGGTACCCACCTGAGACTAGAGAGTGATTGCAGGTACCCACCTGAGGCTAGTGAGCGAGTGCTGGTACCCACCTGACGTGAGAGGTGCTCAGCGTTGACGATGGTTGAAAGGGTGATGGCGGTGGGTCCTCCAGGCTCGTCATAGCTGGGCCGCCGGGTGCTAATCCGGTCCCTCTCGTTCTGCACAGCTGGCCACACACACCAAAACATACCTTGTTACAGTTGCACTTAATATGGTCTTAAATCAACCCCAGTGGCCCATTAACGTGGCCACGTTAATGGAAATTACTTTTACCACACATGCACAACGATGGTATTTATAAGTTATTATCAGTAATGGAAGATGGTTCATGTATTAGTGCACAGAATAAGTTAAATAGTAATATTAAAATATAGATTAGTGGTGTGTGGGGCAAAGGGGACCGCATCACTAGCAATGTGTACTAGTAGTACCGGTAGAGGTAGTACTAGTAGTTAATGTTACAGTACAGTAAAAGTTTTATATATAGACATTCCTGGAGTGCGTCTCTCGGAGACAATTAACGTTCGCTGGAAGCCATTTGGGTTCGTTACCTGGTGGTGTTTGCAACCTATTCTCAGGGTTAATGCACCGCGTTTCTGACGCAACTGACTACAGCGACAAAATATCGGCACTTTAATGGAAATATGGTTAGATTGCGTAGTTTTCCCCACACTCGAGGAAACGGTGAAGGGGCCAGACCTTTTCACAGTGTAGGAAAAGGGAATAACGGAGGACATGATATAAAATTCAAAATAGATTAACAGAGAGACAGTGTTCAACTTAAGGAACATGAGAAGGAGAGACTACAGGTAAACAAGAGAAGCAAACATAGCATAGAGACAAAGAGCATAGATGTCTCCATGTCTCTAGCCAAAGCATAGAAAGATTAGGAAATATAACTTGAGCATAAGAGCGGGAGATAAATAGATCTGACTGGTTGAAGTGAACTTAATACAGTTTTAAAGCTAAAACAAACAGGAAATATGAGAGGATAATACAGTAATGCCACCAGTGGTATTATTGTTTTTTGTACATGGCTTGGAGCAGTCGTCCAGAGATGTGGTAAGAGACTGATAGGTCAAGAGGCGGAGCTTAGGAGATGACGTTCGACCCTGCGATCACATTAGGAGGCGAACACGTCCCTGCCAGTGAAGCTGTACATTGAGCTAGCCACACCAGTACAGTGTGGGTGTCATACCTTCCTTCTTCATGCCGGCCCTGATGCACTTGCGAAGCCTGCAGTAGCGGCATTGGTTCCTCTTGTCCTTGTCGACGGTGCAGCTCCTGGTGAACCTGGTGGAGGGAGTGAGCTGTTACCATGAACCAGTGTTGTCTCTAGTATACATCCGTTACCTCTCTCTCTCTTTCTTTCTCTCTCTCTCTCTCTCTCTCTCTCTCTCTCTCTCTCTCTCTCTCTCTCTCTCTCTCTCTCTCTCTCTCTCTCTCTCTCTCTCTCTCTCTCTCTCTCTCTCTCTCAGTAGACGACATGTAACTCTTGTGCGCAGGCATAGAGCGTTTTCTTCCTATAATTCATGCTAACCTACTAGTTTTTTCCCTGGAACACGTTTCGTCACTCGGTTTACAACCCGGTTCCCAGTTATTACTGGGTGACCTTGAATATAATACAAATCTTTCGTTATGAGAATTATTGTAGCATAAATATGATAAATGTGGTGTTACAAAGCAAGAAGAAGAAGAAGAACAAAGAAGCATATCAGTGTCTTCCAACCCACGTCGGAATCTCGCTAGGCCTATCCGCCTATTCCCCCCCCCCCCATCCACGACGTCCTTCTTCCATAGAGTGATAGACGGCTGACAGACTTTAATAACAAAAAAACGTGCTACACAGTTAAGCTATAAATATGACTTTTGACTGTTTCATACGTTTCAAAAGGCAGAAACATACTCGTGAGCCTACCATTTATTACTGTGTACATGCAAATACAAGTTGTATCTCACTAAATTTGCAGAGCTATAATCTGTAGCCAGCCTGTGTTGTTTTTGGAACGTTCTCATGGGAAAGCACCCAGGGCTTGTTGGCATTAATACTGACACCACCAGAGTCCCAATACCAGCATCACCAGCACAGTACCGCGTGATTACCTGCAGGTCACGACGGGAGACATCTCCCGTCACGCAGGGTGCAGTCGCACCTCCACAGATCTCCAGTATCAGCTCTTGATACTGGTAATGGCTCAATAGGGGCACCACTTACGGGCTATTCATGCCCGTGCCACCTTTTGGGTGGCTTAATCTTCATCAACCAATCAATCACCTGCAGTTGTAAGTGTGGTTCTTCCTGACGGAGCGACGGAAGAAGCCCTTACAGCCGTCGCAGGAGTGGGCGCCGTAGTGCTTCCCGGTGGCCCTGTCCCCACAGATGGCACACGCCAGGGTCATCACGCCCGTCATCACCATCTCCCCGCCGCCCACAATGGACACGCCCACGCCACACAAGGACGTCGAGCTACCTGTGGGCGCGGGAAGGAGAGAATATTACAGTATGTCAGTGAAGCACAAATTTCTTTAAGATTTACAATCGGGCCACAGAAGGGACGCGGATGAAAAGAAGCAGCCAATATTGGAAATAAGATACAACTAGAAATTATTTTGATGTTAATCATACAGAATTAAATTTCGCAAACAAATTCCAACAGCAACTTAAGTTCCGCAAAATGAAGATGAACATTTAAAGACGTGTGCAGATCGGTAGGGGCCCGACCTAATGTACACTGTAAGAGATGACATAGCAAGATTTGAAGCACTTGCAAAAGAAACACTATCAGAGCTCTTAGGGCACAAACGTATAAGAAAGATTCCCAATGACGGAGATTTACCAGAAGAAGATCTTAATACACATTCTGCACACTATGATTGCATGCAGTGCTCTTTGATCTTGTACCTGCTTATTGTTGGGGAATATAGTGTTAGTTCTGCGTCACGTCCTGGAACACTTCCCCTTCTCCTCATCTTTAGCTTTGAACTTTTGTATTGATCTGTTTTAACTCCCTTAGTTTGTCTCGTTTTTTTTTTTAATATTGTGAGGTATGTTGATATGTAAATAATCTTACATCCATTCATACCTTTCAGGTGGGTCTCTGTCCTTGGACCTGCCCTCTGGGGGGGGGGGGGTAGGGGGTTCTACGTCACTGATAATATGCCTTCATCGTTTTATATATTTATTGATCATTGTTGAAGGCAGCTTGGGGCATAGTGCGGCCCGTTCTCGTCATTGGCCACAGCGTGAAAAATACCAAATACTCACCAGAAATATACCAACCCAAACAACCCATCTAATCTAAGCTCCCGATACACAGAAAACGTGAATAATTGTGAGTTGTTACTTTTCATAATCCATTATACACTGGGGACCATAACGTACAAAATTAGACGTACTGGTTAAGGGTACGGGTCATGTGTGTGTGAGGAGGGAACGATAAAAATGGATGTTATGGAGTGAGAGCGGAGAGGCAGGACTGAGAGCTAGTGGGAGGAAAGGTGACAGCTTACCTTGCTGGTGGAGGACGGCGGAATTGGGCACGATGACGGAGTGAGTGGCCGGTGCGGGCATGGGCGTTGATGGTGGGGGCGGGCTGAGGGCCGCCCCGCCGCTGTTGCTGTTGGTGGTGTAGGTGTGTGAGGAGGCGAGGGGAGGGCTGGTGGTGTGGTAGGCCTGCGGGGAGGGGCTCAACACAGACACGTGTCCACCACCACCACCACCACCACCACTACCCATGTCCACGTCGTAGCGTGAGACACTCATCCTCCACACGCCCTGGCCCCACCTCTCCTCGTCCACCAGCTTGTCCACTACTCTTCACCTCACTAAAATCAACTGATTGTTTATGATTCTTATTGACCGTGGCTGCCAAAAAATGTTGACGGTTCTCTCTTCGCGAGATCGATGGATCTCTTCCAGAGACTAATGAAGTTACCCCATGGGCAAGCCCAGGGCTGAGGGTGGCGCACATGGGCAAGCCCAGGGCTGAGGGTGGCACACATGGGCAGGCCCAGGGCTGAGGGTGGCACACATGGGCAGGCCCAGGGCTGAGGGTGGAGATTACGGGAACCACGTGGCACCTGTGAACCGCTCTCGTCTCTCCTGGTCACCTGACGGGAGGAAACCCAAATGTTAAGTATTCGTTATAATAGAAAACGAATTAATAAATGTACTAAACCAAAAGTTTACTTCTGTGAGGACTGAGTGCAATTCTCGGGACTCGCCTCTAAACATCTAATTGACTGGTGTACAGTAACGTTCTCTTGCCCCCTCGGGTTGTGTTTTAATTTGTAATCAGTGTAGCGAGTCTCCCTCTCACACTTGTCATGTTAAGGGTTCTTTGGATGCTCACACAGTCTCACACCTCAATGTGCTACATAGAGGCGGGACCAAAGAGCCAAAGCTCAACCCCCGCAAGCGCAAGTACATAGTCTCACAGTCTTGGCGCCTTCTTTTGATAATTACTTACTTACCCCTAACTACGGCTCACCAATTAACTATCATACCATCCCCTTACGAGGAAGCTTGGCACCATTCCTGGAAGTAATACGGGCCACAGTTTTTTTGTTATGGGAGTAAAAAGGATGAAGAGGCACAGGCGAAGGGAAAAGTTGCAAAAGGGAAAGTACAGTACGAGTTACGATAGCAGGCGGGCTGACCGCCTCGCTGACACCATGTGTGGGTGTTGGCAGCTGAGCTAAGCTTGCTCTCTCTCGTCAGGGAGCTGCAAGTGTGTGAGAGGTTCATCACATGTGTTTCAGCATATATGGATGTCTATATATGAACACTGTGTAGTAGTCACATACACACACACAAATGTTTTTGTACATGTTTTGACGTTCTGTTTGACGATCTTTGGCATTATTATTATTATTATTTATAAGAGTGGGGGAGGGGGTTTCTGTTCAGTATTTCATCTAGGAGTTATGTAGTGTGGGGCTTGCAATTCATCGAATAAACAAGGCATTTGGGCCACCAGCTGTGGGGACTCGTCTTAGAGTAATCTTTCTAACGTTGGGTCTTCTAACATTACGGTCGCGTTCCTCACCCTGATGGCTTGCAGCGTAGTCTGACGATTAGATTTGAGGTATTTGCAATTTGCTCAACAAAAGCCTTGGAAGACGGTGGCTAAAGTCGTGACTGTCCTGTCGCATCTCGACTGGGACTATCAGTGTAAGGGGACTTTTCCACAAGTATCAATCCAATCTTCCTTTGTTTAGAGATAATGGGTCACAAAGGGGTTGACCTATTCACTATCAAACCAAAGAACAGTGTAATGGGGATTTGTTGTTGTTTGAGATTTAGCTACTCATAACGAAGTGTCCATGTAGCACGGGCTATGACGAGCCCATAAAATGGGGGCAATAATCTCTGGTCCTAGATATAAGCCCTCTTCAAGTATACCCATGCAACCCGTTCTCGCACTTGCTTTGGTCAATATTGGCTTATTTAATAAGTGCATATGTGGCATACTAATTGATTGTGAATATTTTAGTTTACAGACCATTACCCCACATTTCTCTTAACTAACATTAGCAAACCACCTCTTGAGTCAAGAGAGATACGTTTTAGACTACACAATGAAACTGCTATAGACAATTTTATAACTGCTACTGATAATGTCAACTGGGAGTCCGAGTTAGGTAACATAGAGGACATCAACCTAGCAGTTCAATCTTTCTTCAAATAACTCTTAGCCTTTATAATACCCACTGTCCTATGCTTACAAAACAAGTCACAACCAAAAGGCTTAACAATCCTTGGCTTACAAAGGGAATACTTAAATCTATTAATAAAAACATGACCTTGAGAAAAAGTATAGGTTAGGGATTGTCTCCAAAGAATTCTCAAAGAATTACTCATTATTGCTATCTAAGATAATTAGACGAGCCAAAAACTAAATACTACGAAGATAAATTTACCCAAATAAAGAGCAACATTAAACAAACATGGAGAACAATTTCACAAATATTGGGATCAAAAAAGTCTTTAAATAGCAAACCGACTCTCCTGTCTAATAACGATGGTCAGCTTTCAGCCTCTGATTCTGCTATTGAGTTCAATAGGTTCTTCTCTTCCATTGGTTCATCCTTGCTAATGATATTCCATCTTCCAGTACTGACATTAAGGACTATCTTACAGGGAACTATCCCAGTCTCTGTACCTAAAGCCTATTAATTCCATTGACGTCAATGAGATAATCCTTCCCTTAAAACCAAGTCTGGTGCCCTTGAGGAGATACCAACTTTAATCTACAAAAAGCCTCCAGATCTTTAGCCCCTGCTATTGCTTTGCTCTTCAACAAGTCACTTGAACTCCAAACCTTTCCAGATATTCTAAAAAAAGCGAGAGTAACGCCTGTCCACAAATGTGGTGATCTCACAGATGTTACAACTACAGACCTATATCAATCCTGCCAAACTTGTCAAAAATTTTTGAAAAACTAATCTATAAGCAGCTTTACTCATATCTAGCCAAACTCAATATACTTGAAAAGCTTCATAGAAAACACCGACCTCACCTAGTCCAGGACTAATGTAAACTTTCAGGGGGTTATACAGAGAGAAGAGGGGAACACCTCTCTGAGGAAATGTCCCCTCACATGCCAGCTACCGTCCATGCCTCTTGGGGTAACGCTATCATTGATTTAGCGACGTGTGTTTTGAGACAACATTTCAAGAAAAGAAGTGGTTTAGTAAACCACTTCAAATTTTGTATGTATAATTTCTTATTCATTTGATTAAAAACGTTATCCTCTTTGTTAGGTTTACATAATTTACAAAGATTAACATGTCCACAATGATTCGGTATTCGGGTACACATGCGCGTCACACCCGCTAAGTTATCTCTACTTTTTAGTGTCATAGTCGCCTGTGAGGCCCAGTATGTAAGGCCTGAGGGTCTTAGGGTAGTATAAAATCATGCAGTCTGCAAACGTACCTGTGTCTTGTGTGTTTTCCTCTTTGGAAAGGGGCGGACTATATGTTCATAGGGAAGGACGCTTCATACCCTCATGAACTGGAGGGTAATAGTGATGTATACTCTTATGAAAAGAATATCAGACACACTAATATCTATTTCATCATCTAGTCATGGGTTCTCTGGATCTGATGGGCGACGGAAGCTCTTCCCACAGCTTGATTCTTTCCGCTGAAGAATCGAATCGAGATTGTAAGCCATTTATCCAAAGGTTGGATAAATGCATTAATGTAACGTCATTAACCTCGTTATTATGGTTCCAGATAAATTATATATCAAGACTATCTGATTTACTTTCATTAAATCCGTGCTGGTATGTTTCTTTACAAATGAAGACCAAACATCTTTAGATGTCACACTGTTATTGATAGTGTTCATCTGCTTGTGTGGTTATCTTGAGGTTATCTTGAGATGATTTCGGGGCTTTTTAGTGTCCCCGCGGCCCGGTTCTCGACCAGGCCTCCACCCCCAGGAAGCAGCCCGTGACAGCTGACTAACACCCAGGTACCTATTTTACTGCTAGGTAACAGGAGCATAGGGTGAAGGAACTCTGCCCGTTGTTTCTCGCCGGCGCCTGGGATCGAACCCAGGACCACAGGATCTCAAATCCAGCGTGCTGTCCGCTCGGCCGACCGGCTCCCCGGTGAGGGACTCCTGCCTCACAGTTCCCTGACATGTGTCCTTCCTCTTACCAATGACATGACGTTGACTGCCATAGAACTGCCAGGTTAGTTTCCCTGTTACTAGTGACTTGTATGAGTTTGCAAGTGACCTGCTCTGGACATCAGCCTCCCTTTCTAAACACCGAAGTTGAGATTTTGTATAAGTCCAATGACCTCTATTGTAGCCGTGACCTCTATTGTAGCCGTGACCTCTATTGTAGCCGTGACCTCTGTTGTAGCCGTGACCTCTGTTGTAGCCGTGACCTCTGTTGTAGCCGTGACCTCTGTTGTAGCCGTGACCTCTATTGTAGCCGTGACCTCTATTGTAGCCGTGACCTCTGTTGTAGCCGTGACCTCTGTTGTAGCCGTGACCTCTATTGTAGCCGTGACCTCTGTTGTAGCCGTGACCTCTGTTGTAGCCGTGACCTCTGTTGTAGCCGTGACCTCTATTGTAGCCGTGACCTCTATTGTAACCGTGACCTCTGTTGTAGCCGTGACCTCTGTTGTAGCCGTGACCTCTATTGTAGCCGTGACCTCTATTGTAGCCGTGACCTCTATTGTAGCCGTGACCTCTGTTGTAGCCGTGACCTCTGTTGTAGCCGTGACCTCTGTTGTAGCCGTGACCTCTATTGTAGCCGTGACCTCTATTGTAGCCGTGACCTCTGTTGTAGCCGTGACCTCTGTTGTAGCCGTGACCTCTATTGTAGCCGTGACCTCTATTGTAGCCGTGACCTCTATTGTAGCCGTGACCTCTGTTGTAGCCGTGACCTCTGTTGTAGCCGTGACCTCTGTTGTAGCCGTGACCTCTGTTGTAGCCGTGACCTCTATTGTAGCCGTGACCTCTATTGTAGCCGTGACCTCTGTTGTAGCCGTGACATCTATTGTAGCCGTGACCTCTATTGTAGCCGTGACCTCTATTGTAGCCGTGACCTCTATTGTAGCCGTGACCTCTGTTGTAGCCGTGACCTCTGTTGTAGCCGTGACCTCTGTTGTAGCCGTGACCTCTGTTGTAGCCGTGACCTCTGTTGTAGCCGTGACCTCTATTGTAGCCGTGACCTCTGTTGTAGCCGTGACCTCTGTTGTAGCCGTGACCTCTGTTGTAGCCGTGACCTCTGTTGTAGCCGTGACCTCTGTTGTGGCCGTGACCTCTGTTGTAGCCGTGACCTCTGTTGTAGCCGTGACCTCTATTGTAGCCGTGACCTCTGTTGTAGCCGTGACCTCTATTGTAGCCGTGACCTCTGTTGTAGCCGTGACCTCTGTTGTGGCCGTGACCTCTATTGTAGCCGTGACCTCTGTTGTAGCCGTGACCTCTATTGTAGCCGTGACCTCTGTTGTAGCCGTGACCTCTATTGTAGCCGTGACCTCTGTTGTGGCCGTGACCTCTATTGTAGCCGTGACCTCTGTTGTAGCCGTGACCTCTATTGTAGCCGTGACCTCTGTTGTAGCCGTGACCTCTGTTGTAGCCGTGACCTCTGTTGTAGCCGTGACCTCTATTGTAGCGAGTTCTATGGGTTGTTTCCTTCATCGCTGGTTATGTCCAGATTTTCCAGCACCATTTGAAGACTTGCTGGAACGTTTTGTTCAGCTGCTTCGTTATCCTTTAATGTGGATATCCTGGTGTAGTGTGTGTGTGTGTGTGTGTGTGTGTGTGTGTGTGTGTGTGTGTGTGTGTGTGTGTGTGTGTGTGTGTGTGTGTGTGTGTGTGTGTGTGTGTGTGTGTGTGTGTGTGTGTCTGTGTGTGTGTGTGTGTGTGTGTGTGTGTGTGTGTGTGTGTGTGTGTGTGTCTGTGTGTGTGTGTGTGTGTGTGTGTGTGTGTGTGTGTGTGTCTGTGTGTGTGTGTGTGTGTGTGTGTGTGTGTGTGTGTGTGTGTGTGTGTGTGTGTGTGTGTGTGTGTGTCTGTGTGTGTGTGTGTGTGTGTGTGTGTGTGTGTGGTGTGTGTGTGTGTGTGTGTGTGGTGTGTGTGTGTGTGTGTGTGTGTGTGTGTGTGTGTGTGTGTGGTGTGTGTGTGTGTGTGTGTGTGTGTGTGTGTGTGTGTGTCTGTGTGTGGTGTGTGTGTGTGTGTGTGTGTGTGTGTGTGTGTGTGTGTGTGTGTGTGTGTGTGTGTGTGTCTGTGTGTGTGTGTGTCTGTGTGTGTGTGTGTGTGTGTGTGTGTGTGTGTGTGTGTGTGTGTGTGTGTGTGTGTGTGTGTGTGTGTGTGTGTGTGTGTGTGTGTGTGGGTCATCGTGGGAGTGATAACGTCGCTTGACCACTACAGATGCTCCACAACTTTTTACTATGATACTGTTTATCTGTATTGTTTATCTCTTCAGGTGATAGCGTTGAGTGGTGGCTAATTCCCTGACTTAGGTGACGTTCTCTCTCTCTCTCTCTCTCTCTCTCTCTCTCTCTCTCTCTCTCTCTCTCTCTCTCTCTCAGGTCTCTCTCGTCTCTCTCTCTCTCTCTAATTCTCTCTCTCTTAGGTGACGTTCTCTCTCTCTCTCTCTCTCTCTCTCTCTCTCTCTCTCTCTCTCTCTCTCTCTCTCTCTCTCTCTCTCTCTCTCTCTCTCTCTCTCTCTCAATGCCTTAATTCACATGTACATTCACAGCTGCTGCAATGAACAATTGTATTGCTACAATGTATAGTATATATCACTTATTTTCATATACCCTTAAAAAGTAACATCAATCGAGAAACATTTCCTTAAATAAAGACACCCGCTCGGACATCCTGGAACAGCCGTAAGATGATAGAGACGACGGCAAAAAGAAAGCATCTCAAGGAAGGTCCAGTGAGGTTTTCTTGTGTACAGTATTTGGTAATTAGTTCCCTCGCGTTTTGAGTTATTGGCTCAGTTGAGGAAACCGAGGAGTATTTGTTGTTGTTATAGATTCAGCTACTTGGAACAAGTTCCAAGTAGCACGGGCTATGGTGAGCCCGTAACTTACCTGGCACAGGAGCGGGGCAAGTAGCACGGGTTATGGTGAGCCCGTAACTTACCTGGCACAGGAGCGGGGCAAGTAGCACGAGCTATGGTGAGCACGTGAACTTACCTGGCACAGGAGCGGGGCAAGTAGCACGGGCTATGGTGAGCCCGTAGTGGACTTACCTGGCACAAGAGCGGGGCTATAACTACCGAGGAGTATGATGATGTTGTTATAGATTCAGCTACTCGGAACAAGTTCCAAGTAGCACGGGCTATGGTGAGCCCGTAACTTACCTGGCACAGGAGCGGGGCCAGTAGCACAGGCTATGGTGAGCCCGTAACTTACCTGGCACAGGAGCGGGGCTAGTAGCACAGGCTATGGTGATCCCGTGGTGGACTTACCTGGCACAGGAGCGGGACCAGTAGCACAGGCTATGGTGAGCCCGTGGTGGACTTACCTGGCACAGGAGCGGTGCTGAATGTGAGCAAGGAGTAGGGTGGAAGGGTTCTTATAGTCTGCGTATTCTCTATTTGGCCTTACGGGCTATTCATACCCGTGCCACCTCTTGGGTGGCTTAATCTTTATCAATCATCTATTTGGCACAGGTGGGTACAGCAGTAGACAACTTGTGACTCCTGTTGGCAGGCTGAGAGCTCTTTGTTCCCATAGATCATGGTTCTCTACTAGTTTTACCTGCAACACGATCCACCAATCAGTTAACAACCAGGTACAAAGTAAAATCTAACTAAGTTATCCACCGCCTGAGTAAGGCAGACATGAGTAACAGTGGACCAGCCAGAGGATTAACGCCTGCGCAGGAATATCACTGTGAAAATAGATGCATAACTGAAAAGGTGGTGCCTAGTCAATTCTCCCCTGTCATGACTCAAACTGGAGTGGAGGGGGCCACAGAGCTACTCCACTCCGGTTTTACTCTTGTATTTGGAATCAAAGCAAGATTGTATACTTAACACGAAGGTAGTAATTGTGTGTTTGACACCATCCTTCCAGTAGGGGAGGAGAGGCTTCCCTGGTGAGGGGGGAGTGTGTTAGGGCCAGGGGAGGATATTACGGTTCTTTAATTCTTACTAGTAGATCGCATTTTTTAAAGGATTGGCCGATTCCGTAACAAACGCGACCTATTATGTGAGAGGATTGTCTATGATCTGAGCATTAATTAGAAGGGGCAAGGAAGGAGAGCGCTCACGTCAACTTACAACGGAGGGAGCCTCCAGAGGGCGCAGCTTCCTCGCCTCCGCGAAGGCCTGCAGGCAGGGTAGGGGGCTGGTGAAGCCTTGCCCTCCTGCACCACACCGTGACGCTCGTCATGGTGCCCAACCTGGGGAAGATGATGTGCGTGTGGCCTAGAATGCGTCAGCGCGACAGTCCGAGAATTAATTTTGTTTGAGGAGAAACATGGCGGGACATGGTCGGCGGGGTGATCAAGTTTGCCACACTTAGCGTCGCAGCCTCACGGTGATGCTGCGACGGCTGCCAACACTCTCCCGGCTCCCTAAAACACACACAAATGAAGACAAAATAGATTTCAACACTTCCCTACCACCATGGACAGTTTACACTGAGCGTCACCTTCATCTTGAAGACGAAGGTGAACAAATCCACAAGGGCCGTGACGAGGGTTCGAACCTACGTCCGAGAGGATCACACACGCGCCTTAATCGACTGAGCTACTGCATGGATAAGAATTGCAACCGGGAAATCAACTTGACCTACCCTGGATCCTGCAGGCTCTCCGAGACTTCCCAACACGAAGGTGTTGGGAAGGGAGAGCGGGCAGTGACTGCAGAACTGGCCGGGTCCGCCTTGGATGTCCATATTATTATTACTTTTATATGGTTCTCCATTCACCAACACTGATTATATTGCTACGGAGATGGGCGGACGCCGAGGGAAACCTGTGCTCTGGACACAGCCAGACAACTATGGTGTCCTTGTTAGCTAGAATAGCTTTATCCCCAAATGCGCACCACCTTCCCCTACAACGAAGGGCATGTGACTATGTATAGCCAGAATCTTGACGAGTTTGGAGACGGTCAAGACCCGATAACATATTGACATGGCTGAGAGAGGAGAGTACCAGGCGACGTAAACCTTTGCTCTCTAACTCCTGGACGAGGACCTCTTCCAGAATAATTATGACAAAGTTGAACTCTGAAACTCCACTCACCCTCGCCTTTCCTTCCTTCCCTTTCCTGTTCTTCACCTTCCTTTGCTGTCATCTCCTTCACCCTCCCCCCTATCATCCTATTCCATCCTGGTCCCTGAGGTAGGCCCCCTTGCCCAATACGGTGCCCAGGTCCCTGAGGTAGGCCCCCTTGCCCAATACGGTGCCCAGGTCCCTGAGATAGGCCCCCTTGCCCAATACGGTGCCCAGGTCCCTGAGGAAGGCTCCTGGAGCGTCATATTGTCTGGCATCAAGAGGTGCCGAGGTTCCAGAAGGCAGTATTCCCTTATTTCTTGCTGTGTCTGGCTGCCCGGGGTGGCAGGATGCACATTAAAAGGATGCTGCAAGTACTCTGAAACCGAGTCTCTGCGGCGATGTAAGACTTGGCCCGGATAACACCTTTGAGAAAACACCAAAACAGCACAGTTTTCGAATGTAGTGAAGTTTTCCGGATAGCGCGCACACACACGCACTGATCTCATCAAACTCCCTATTGAGAGAACATTCAAGTAAAGGTAATTATGAGAAAGTGCCAAGCCATCTTGACTATATGGGAGCATCCAAGAGATGCCGTAGATAGCCTCAGAAAAGAGCCTGAGGACATTAACTCGGGTCAGTAGAGTGAAAGATATGTCGTAGGGTACTCACGTCAAGTCCAAGCCAGCGTCGAAGCGCGCCCCTCCATTCAAAACGTTCAGAATATATTCACATTGCCTATAAGCAACGTTTTGCGTCATGTAAACATGCGCAGCTACCCACACAACATGGGGGGATAGAAGGTATGTAAACACACCAGCAGTATGTAAACAGTGAGGTCGGGGCGAAGGTCAACGTTGACTGGTCATTTACGTCAGGCTATTTACAAGTCTGGATGGAGATATGAGGAGGTACAAGGGTCGCAGGATGTTAGTCACTGCCTGACGACCAGTGCTGCTGGCTCTCTCCTTCACCGAAGTCCAACGTTCACTACTTGCATAACATCTTGTGAATGGTTGGGCCGGTGTGTGTGGCACTGACCGAGACGGCCAGGGTGAGGCACGCACGCACGCGCGCACACATACACACACACACACACACACACACACACACACACACACACACACTCAGGAATCTCAGGAATCTGTACACCTGTTGATTGACGGTTGAGAGGCGGGACCAAAGAGCCAGAGCTCAACCCCCGCAAACACAACTAGGTGAGTACAACTAGGTGAGTACACACACACACACACACACACACACACAGTTGATTGACAGTTGAGAGGCGGGACTAAAGAGCCAGAGCTCAACCCCCGCAAGCACAACTAGGTGAGTTTACAATCCTCGAATAATGCCTAATAATTCTGGAATTCTATGATAAAATAACAAGACTAAGGCAGGACAAGGAAGCATGGGCAGACTGCATATTTCTGGACTGCCAAAAAGTCTTTGATACAGTACCGCACATGAGACTGCTATTCAAACTTGAGAGGCAGGCGGGAGTAAGCGGAAAACTACTAACATGGGTAAGGAATTACCTAACAGGCAGGAGCCAGATAGTATCAGTAAAGGGAAAGAAGTCGGACTGGCGAACAGTAACGAGTGGAGTGCCTCGAGGGTCGGTGCTGGGACCAGTTCCATCTCTCTAATATACATAAACGTTATGTCTACAGGAGTTGAGTCCTATATGTCGGTTTGTGGATGACGCAAAATTAATGAGACGAGTTGTGACAGATGAGGATTGTAGGATCCTCCGAGAGGAATTGAACAGCTTGCAGAAATGATCGGAGAAATGGATACCGGAATTCAACACGAGCAAGTGTATAGTTATGGAAATGTGACAGGAGACCAAAGGGACGGTACACAAAGAAGGGAAACTACCTATCTGGGATAATTCGAGAAAGATATCTGGGAGTGGACGTAACACCAAATCTAACTCCTGAGGCACATATAAAAATTATAACAGTTGCGTACTCTACGTTAGCAAAAGTTAGAACATTCAGAAACCTAAGTAAGAAGGCCTTCAGAGCGCTTTACCCTGAGTATGGTTTTTTTTTTTTTTTTTTTTTTTTTTTTAGATATATACAAGAGTTGTTACATTCTTGTACAGCCACTAGTACGCGTAGCGTTTCGGGCAGGTCCCTGGAATACGATCCCCTGCCGCGAAGAATCCTTAAAGTAAGACTATGTAAGACCAGTCTTACTGCATGTCGCGCCATCATGGAGCCCCGACCTGAAGAAACACACATATTAACTGGGAAAGGTTCAGAAGTTTGCGACGAGGCTTGTCTCAGAATTACGAGGGATGGGGTATGAAGAGCGACTGAAGAAACTGAACCTGACGACGCTAGACAAAAAAAAGGAGATAGTGGAGAGATATTATAGAGACATAAAAATACTTAGGGGGATTGACAAAGTGGAAATAGAGAAAATGGTCATACTAAATACCAAGAGAACAAAGGGGCATGGATGAACGCTTGACTCAGATGTGTCATAGGGATATTATAAGGTTTTCTTTTAGCGTAAGAGTAGTGGGAAACTAGAATGAACTAAAGGAACAAGTTGCGGAAGCAAAACTCTATTTATAATTTTAAAAGTAGTTATGATAGAGAGAGATAGGACAGGAGTCATTGCTTTAAATAACCGGCGGCTAGAAAGACGGGATCCAAGAGCCAATGTTCGATCCTGCAGGGACAAATAGGTGAGTACACACACATACACGTTTTACACACAATGGAGCTGTTTGTTATTGTTGAGGTGGTTGGTACCCCTGTTGTTGGTACCCCTGCCGTTGGCACCCCTGTTGTTGTTATTGGTACCCCTGCCGTTGGCCCCCTGTTGTTGTTGGTACCCCTGCCGTTGGTACCCCTGTTGTTGTTGGTAACCCTGCCGTTGGCCCCCTGTTGTTGTTGGTACCCCTGCCGTTGGTACCCCTGCCGTTGGTACCCCTGTTGTTGGTAACCCTGCCGTTGGCCCCCTGTTGTTGTTGGTACCCCTGCCGTTGGCACCCCTGTTGTTGTTGGTACCCCTGCCGTTGGTACCCCTGTTGTTGGTAACCCTGCCGTTGGTACCCCTGTTGTTGTTGGTAACGCTGCCGTTGGCACCCCTGTTGTTGTTGTTGGTACCCCTGTCGTTGGCACCTCTGATGTTGTTGGTACCCCTGTCGTTGGCCCCCTGTTGTTGTTGGTACCCCTGTCGTTGGCCCCCCTGTTGTTGTTGTTGGTACCCCTGTCGTTGGCACCCCTGTTGTTGTTGTTGGTACCCCTGTCGTTGGTACACCTGTTGTTGTTGGTACCCCTGTCGTTGGCACCCCTGTTGTTGTTGTTGGTACCCCTGTCGTTGGCACCCCTGTTGTTGTTATTGGTACCCCTGTCGTTGGTACCCCTGTTGTTATTGGTACCCCTGTCGTTGGTACACCTGTTGTTGTTATTGGTACCCCTGTCGTTGGTACACCTGTTGTTATTGGTACCCCTGTCGTTGGTACACCTGTTGTTATTGGTACCCCTGTCGTTGGTACACCTGTTGTTGTTGGTACCCCTGTCGTTGGCACCCCTGTTGTTGTTATTGGTACCCCTGTCGTTGGTACCCCTGTTGTTATTGGTACCCCTGTCGTTGGTACACCTGTTGTTGTTATTGGTACCCCTGTCGTTGGTACACCTGTTGTTGTTGGTACCCCTGTCGTTGGCACCCCTGTTGTTGTTGTTGGTACCCCTGTCGTTGGCACCCCTGTTGTTATTGGTACCCCTGTCGTTGGTACACCTGTTGTTATTGGTACCCCTGTCGTTGGTACACCTGTTGTTGTTATTGGTACACCTGTTGTTGTTATTGGTACCCCTGTCGTTGGTACACCTGTTGTTATTGGTACCCCTGTCGTTGGTACACTTGTTGTTATTGGTACCCCTGTCGTTGGTACACCTGTTGTTATTGGTACCCCTGTCGTTGGTACACCTGTTGTTATTGGTACCCCTGTCGTTGGTACACTTGTTGTTGTTATTGGTACCCCTGTCGTTGGTACACCTGTTGTTGTTGGTACCCTGTCGTTGGCACCCCTGTTGTTGTTGTTGGTACCCTGTCGTTGGCACCCCTGTTGTTGTTATTGGTACCCCTGTCGTTGGTACACCTGTTGTTATTGGTACCCCTGTCGTTGGTACACCTGTTGTTGTTATTGGTACCCCTGTCGTTGGTACACCTGTTGTTATTGGTACCCCTGTCGTTGGTACACCTGTTGTTATTGGTACCCCTGTCGTTGGTACACCTGTTGTTGTTGGTACCCCTGTTGTTGGCACCCCTGTTGTTGGCACCCCTGTTGTTGTTATTGGTACCCTGTCGTTGGTACACCTGTTGTTGTTATTGGTACCCCTGTCGTTGGTACACCTGTTGTTATTGGTACCCCTGTCGTTGGTACACTTGTTGTTGTTATTGGTACCCCTGTCGTTGGCACCCCTGTTGTTGTTATTGGTACCCCTGTCGTTGGTACACCTGTTGTTGTTATTGGTACCCCTGTCGTTGGTACACCTGTTGTTGTTATTGGTACCCCTGTCGTTGGTACACCTGTTGTTATTGGTACCCCTGTCGTTGGCACCCCTGTTGTTATTGGTACCCCTGTCGTTGGTACACCTGTTGTTATTGGTACCCCTGTCGTTGGCACCCCTGTTGTTGTTATTGGTACCCCTGTCGTTGGTACACCTGTTGTTGTTATTGGTACCCCTGTCGTTGGCACCCCTGTTGTTGTTATTGGTACCCCTGTCGTTGGTACACCTGTTGTTGTTATTGGTACCCCTGTCGTTGGCACCCCTGTTGTTGTTATTGGTACCCCTGTCGTTGGTACACCTGTTGTTGTTATTGGTACCCCTGTCGTTGGTACACCTGTTGTTATTGGTACCCCTGTCGTTGGTACACCTGTTGTTATGGTACCCCTGTCGTTGGCACCCCTGTTGTTATTGGTACCCCTGTCGTTGGTCCACCTGTTGTTATTGGTACCCCTGTCGTTGGCACCCCTGTTGTTGTTATTGGTACCCCTGTCGTTGGTCCACCTGTTGTTATTGGTACCCCTGTCGTTGGTCCACCTGTTGTTATTGGTACCCCTGTCGTTGGTCCACCTGTTGTTATTGGTACCCCTGTCGTTGGTACACCTGTTGTTGTTATTGGTACCCCTGTCGTTGGTACCCCTTGTCGTTACTGGTACCCCCTATTGTTGTAGGTAACCATTGGTTTTTCCCTATAACTTTTTAAGAAATTTACCGTTTTGCTTCAATATTTTAAATGCTTATTTTTGTATTTATTTTGTCTACATTGAAAGCGAATTTCCCTTTTTCGGGCCATAATGGACAGCCTATACCGCTATGTTTGTTTGTCCAGAATTAACCGCTCTAAACACCCAAGATCGTAATTTTTTTTATGAAAAATTATACCCAAGAGTGAACCTCCGAAAATAATCAGCTGTGGAAAGTTCCAACACGTCTCAGGTTCGTTCATGTCTCGGGTTCATTCATGTCTTGGGTTCATTCATGTCTTGGGTTCGTTCGTGTCTTGGGTTCATTCATGTCTTGGGTTCATTCATGTCTTGGGTTCATTCATGTCTCGGGTTCGTTCATGTCTTGGGTTCGTTTATGTCTCGGGTTCATTCATGTCTTGGGTTCGTTCATGTTTTGGGTTCATTCATGTCTTGGGTTCATTCATGTCTTGGGTTCGTTCGTGTCTTGGGTTCATTCATGTCTTGGGTTCATTCATGTCTTGGGTTCATTCATGTCTTGGGTTCGTTCATGTCTCGGGTTCATTCATGTCTTGGGTTCGTTCATGTCTTGGGTTCGTTCATGTCTTGGGTTCGTTCATGTCTTGGGTTCGTTCATGTCTTGGGTTCATTCATGTCTTGGGTTCATTCATGTCTTGGGTTTGTTCATGTCTTGCGTTCGTTCATGTCTTGGGTTCGTTTATGTCT